ACAAAATTGTGGCACCATCCTGTAGCTCGTTTTATAAATCATTTTAATAAAACATTTTGTTCAGAAAACAAAAGGAATTCTACTGCTCTCATGCTGCGCAGGGTTAGTTAATAATCATTCTTAATAATTAAAATTTTACTTAAAATAGGTGAATACGTAATATGCTTATTGTTCATACATATGGTGTCAAATGCAGAATTCTCCGAATTGAGCTTAACCTACGCCATCCGATAAATTATCACCAATTAAAAAAAATTATCTAGAATTCCATTTCTCGATTTATTTTGTGCCGGTTATTTAGGATAATGAAGTATAAGTATGTTGATTTGAATAAAAATTTACAATTTGAGCTACTGTTTAACCTCTTGGGACCGAATTAGAAATACAACTTAGCATAGTATAGTATTTTCCGTAAGGGGGAGCCACAAATTTGTGTAATATTTTTTCACATATGGGGACGAAATATAAGTGTACACATTTGTGCAGAGACACATACGTGATTATTAAGCGAGCTTAATGTTTGGCTGAAGGATTAATAAGTCTTAATCATTAATCCCAGAAAAAAATCTAAAAATGACGTACTGCTGCAAGTAGATCGCCCTGCAACACTTAAGTGACCGAATAAGTTAGGAAATAAATTGTGCACCCTGTCATTGACAGACAAACAGACGAACGAAGGACGAGTTAATAAGTAGTACGAAAGAGGTTAAATACAAACATACATATTAATAACTGTATATTTGCCTGTCAATACAAATGCTAAAATCCAGATGTTACAGAATTCTAGGTATTCTAAAAGCGTTATTGAACTTTGAACCGTCTATTCACTAGGGTTGCCGCGGGTAGCGAAAATCCTACCCGTTACCCGACCCGCTACCCGCCGCACAACTACCCGTACCCGTTACCCGCTACCCGTTATGAGAATTAAGTTAAAGCTAACCAACATTCAGAATAAATTTGATTTAATCAATTATTTGGGCTGTTCAGTAGTTTGAGATAATGCTATGCAAGTTACCAATGCCATAATTTGCTAGATGTCATTAGATGTTTCTGAAAGCAGACTTTTTGGCTTTTGGAACCTTTTTCAAACTACATCAGAATTTCTTAGCGAATTGTGTAAAAAATCAAGCCAAAAATTAGGAATTATCACTTATCTTTCCGTTGAATAGCCGGTTTAACGAAAACTATTGGGGGCAAAGTTCAAAGTCCACCATGGTTTTCGTCCAGTGGAGGAAAAACATGCAGAACATTTAAATACTTAAAACCTACAGTGCAGACTTGATATAGCCCGAGTCAGGCGTAAATCTGTTTTTAAACTAAAATTATTAAAACTTCGAATTCTTCAATTAAGAGCCTTTATTAACCCATATACCAAAATTTATCCACCATCACTAAATGTAATCGGCTATCACTAAATTTTTGTTAGTGCACACATTTTTTTCCCTTGGTCACCAGTATCGACTGTGACCATAACTTTGAAACGAGTGTATATTTTTTCTTAAAACTTTCAGGATATTATGTTATCAATATTCGATGTAACATATGTAAATTCCAGCCACGCGGGTGACTAGGTTCATATACATTTGTTGGTGCACACATATTTTTCTCCCTGGTCTGGTCATCTTATTGGGTTGACCAATAAGGTCCTCTAGATGAAAATTTTTCTTATTTTTCTTCGTATTATTCCATTAGGAGCTATTACCAACTTATCTACCAAATTTCAGCTCGATTTGAAGAATTGAAAAATTAGCATGGGTCACCCCATAGGGTCTGTCCAGGTGAAAATGTGTCGAATTTCAATTCATATTCTTCCATTGGTAGTCATTAACAACCTATGTACCAAATTTCAGCTTTATTTGCTAAGTTTTAAAAATCGGTATGGGTCACCCCCTAGGGTCCCTCCAGATGAAAATTTTTACAATTTTACTTTGTATTCCTTCATTAGAAACCATTATCAACCTCTACACCAAATTTCAGCTTTCTACAGCAATTTTGAAATTTTGATGCATAATACCCACCCAGATGACCCCCACCGGTCAACCACTTGACCGATTTCGCCCATCTTCGAACTTGACTCCTCCTTTGACCCTTACTACATTTGTGCAAAATCTCAAGTGGATCGGATTAGTTTTACGGCAGTTATCGCAAACCAGACAGACAGACAGACGGACAGACAGACAGACGGACATGACGGGTACATAAGCCCTGACTCGGGCTAAAAATTGCACTTTGCCGCCAATATTTTTTTTCAAAGTGGACATTCAGCGGCAAGTAAATATTCTTTATCACGCGGTTCCTAATTTTTAGCTTAACATTTTAATATACTCCCTAGACCATCGTGGTGTAGCTTGGTGTGTTTGAAAAAAGGTTAATTTTTAGTTTGATTTAAATGCAATTTTCATTTAAATATTGTCTACAAATAAAATTTTTGCTTTCAATCGAATTCAGGTTTTTCATATTCAAAGCACAAATGAAAATCTCGTGAGTCTCAAATAAATTCACACAAATACAAGTTAAAGTATTACTGATATTTTAGAGGAGGCAAATTATACTTGACTAACAATAATTTCTCCGCATTTTCTGGACGTGAGAAGCATTTGAGGCTGCCGTAGGCCTCTGTGGCTTCCGAAAAGACATGCTCGCCATAAATATTAGTTGCTGGCAAATAACAAATTTTGAAATGGATAAATAATAAATTGACCCATTGTGGCTAAATGGACTAACTTGCTGCTAAGTTTCTTTATGAACTAATTTATGTCGAAAATTAAATAAAAAAAGAACTACCCGTTACCCGTGCGGGTAGTTCTCGCTACCCGCAGATGACGGGTACCCGCAAGAATCGTGCGGGTATGCGGGTAACGGGTACCCGACCCGTTACCCGCGGCAACCCTACTATTCACCCAACGTGTTGCAAAACCATTTCATGTTAATAAAACAAGCAAATATCTATCAATATTTCAAATTTGTTAATACTCTAACAATGCAATTATTCGACGAATTTGATTCCAGAACTCGTAAAATTTTCCACCGTTTAAGCTCATTTACTTCGATCAGATAAGATTTACATGTGCAGGTGCACTCTTAGAAATTATGTTACCCATTTGAAGAGTAAATGCACTCTGCATTCTAAATTAAATAGCTTATGTAAGTCTTACTTCACCCCGACATTGCAAGAACACCCAATTTCATTGGATTTCATATATAGATTTAATTTAGGGAAAGATCTCTTTTTTCCACGACCACACCCCCGAGGTTGTTCTATTGACCCAAAAAAGTTTATCAGATCCTCCCCCTGGGGTCATAGGGCCTGATGCCGCAAACAGATCTCGATCCGTTCTTTCGTTACCCTGCTGACGAACCGACAGACAAAGTCTTCGAATAAAGTAGCTTTAGCTACTTAAAATATTTAGGAGCGCAAACCATGTTCAGGCGAGATTATTTTTTGACCATATTAGTTTGGAAGAGCAAGTCTTTAGAAACAACATTTGGTTCGGCACTTGCGCAGATGCGCAAAATTCAGAACGTTATAGGCGCCGCAAGTTCGCAAAAACGAATGATTGTTCATACATGGTAGAACGCGAGCTCAACTTTTTTCTGTCTCTTTCGCTCGGCCTCTTACTCACACGTGAGGACATTGACCCCGCAGCCCTTCATCATCCGAATTTTTCATTAATAATTCCGAATTGTTATATTTTTAATGATGTACTACCTACCGCCTAGCGCCTAAATTCCTAACGCCTATCGCCTACCAGGTACTTTCTACCGCCTAAAGACCTAGCGCCTACTTACTAACGCCTAAAATATCCACCGCCTACTTCCTAACGCCTAAACGCCTACCGCCTACTTCCTAACGCCTAAAATGTTTACCGCCTAAAAATTTTTTTATTACCTTTTTAAACGTTTTACACTATTCTATTAGTGGGGCACTTTGAGATTTTTGTAAAAATATCATGGAAATCATAATTTCTTCTTATCACAGTGGGTCACTATGAGATTATTGGGGTAAAGTGTAGCATGGATTATCAAAATTATGTCCCGTATTGGGATATCGTTCGTTTTTAAGCGAGCGAAGCGAACAGGTTAGGTTAGTTATACTAGGTACGTGGAAAGCGTGAAATATTCAGCTAGGAGAGCTAGCAAGGAGATCTACCTAGGATAAATAGTTAGAAGTAATAGTTAGGAGAGCTAGCTAGAATTCCTAGCTATAAGTCCTAGCTAAGAGAGCTAGCTATAAGTCCTAGCTAAGAGAGCTAGCTATAAGTCCTAGGTTAGGTTAGGTTAGGTTAGGTTAGCTAGGAATTCTAGCTAGCTCTCCTAACTAGGACTTCTAGCTAGTTATCCTAGGTAGATCTCCTTGCTAGCTCTCCTAGCTGAATATTTCACGCTTTCCACGTACCTAGTATAACTAACCTAACCTGCTCGCTTCGCTCGCTTAAAAACGAACGATATCCCAATACGGGGCATAATTTCGATAATCCATGATACACTTTACCCCAATAATCTCATAGTGTCCTACTGTTATAAGAAGAAATTATGATTTCCATGATATTTTTACAAAAATCTCAAAGTACCCCACTAACAGAATAGTGTAAAACGTTTAAATATGCAATAAAAAATTTTAGGCGGTAAACATTTTAGGCGTTAGGAAGTAGGCGGTAGGCGTTTAGGCGTTAGGAAGTAGGCTGTAGATATTTTAGGCGTTAGGAAGTAGGCGCTAGGTCTTTAGGCGGTAGAAAGTACCTGGTAGGCGTTGGGCGGTAGGAACTTAGGCGCTAGGCGGTAGGTTGTACATCATATATTTTTAATATAAATTTTGGAATTATTTCACCCAGTACAATGTTTTGCTATGTTTTTGTCCTTCATATCTTCATTTTTATCCTGACTTTTTGGGGGGAGTGGGTGGATTTGGGGGGGGGGGGATTATAAATGCCGAATTTCGAATGCATCTTTTGCATTGCGATACCTTTTTTAAACATGCGAGTTGTGGTATGGGGTAACGTGAAAGCCGCGTCTGGCGGGCAGAGCAACTCAAAATTTTCCGTCGACATAAAGCTGATGAACTGATTGGAAATTGTTTATATATTTTCAAATTGTAAGTGGAAAAACGTTAATTAATTAATTGTCTAATTACTTCGATGTAATTTTACTTGTTTTTCTTAATTGTACCAAGATTAATAAAGAATTTAGTTTCAGATTACCAAATCGCAGAAAATATCGCAATCAAGATGGAAAAAGTGATGTCAAACGGGCTGGTAAGAGGATTAATTTAAAAGGGGACAAAATAAGTTATCTGTTCAATTAAGAAAGATCCATTTTTCATTGTTGACATTAAATTGCTCACTTTTTGACCCGTTCAACAATATGTGGCATTAAGGTCCCATTGAATGAAGGATTATGAATTTAATTTTTTCGTTCTTCGATGTATTTAAATTCGTATTTAAATGGAGATTTTGAAACTTGCTTATCTCCGTACGTTTTTTTTACTTACATGAAGATTTATTACATCCAAAAATTGTTAATTATAAGTTTACAAAATCAGGAGGTTCTGATTAAGAAGAATATTCTGATTCGAGGAAGAATACCTATTTCACTTTTGCCTGTTATACTTTACTTCTATTTTCTGAAATTCCAATCCAAAGAAAAATTTGATCCTCCCAAATTTTATTACTTTTTGGCTGTAATAAACAATAAAATCTTCATTTTAAAAAAATAGTGGAGATGAACAACTTTCAAAATCGCAATTTCAATAAATCAAAGAAAGGAATGATAAGTTAGGACAACTTCTAAACCTGTATGCAATTCCACCTTAATAAATTTATTTCTCTTTCCAGCTCGTCTCCACCATCATGGAACATCTTCCCGTCTCCGATCTTATCCAGTGCGCCCAAGTTAACCCACTTTGGGAACAAATGGCCGTGAAATGGCTGAACCGAAAGGCCATCGTCAACCTCGACTATGACGAAAAACCCATGTCAACTTATCTGAAAATGGTCCGTGGCGACGGTGACGAAACGATTGGGCGATGTCACGACCAGATCGCCCTGGACGGAATGGGTTCTCGGAACGTTCGAGACATATTTTTCGGCAGCAAGCATACCGTCACTCGAGAACAGTTTGACACCCTGGTCGCAGCCGTGCAGGAATTTGGACACTGCGTGAAAACGCTAAAGGTCCAGTTGGAGTTTGGCGAAGGGTGAGAGAGTTAAAAATAAATCCGATTTACTTATAATTTCATGATTTTGGTTAACGTGTGAATTTTTAAAGTACATAAACGGGACAGTTTTTATTTATACACGTGCCAACTTGATTATCTCATATTGGAGGCGGGCTGAAGCTGAAATTCTAATCAAATCTGTCTGTTCCGTTTACATAACAATTCGTCACATTTTTAATCCCAGTGGCAGCGGAAGCTTGGGGGCATGAGCATTCCTGAGGGGCTTTTTAATAACTTGTACCAGATAGAATTTTTATCGCACAATGTCCCCCTGCTTCCGTCCCCACTATTTTTCGCCGGTGGGGATTTATTTTAAAAATCTGTCAACATCCAGTCCTATAAATTTGTCGTCCAGAATTTTAGATAAGTTCCCAGATGCTGGAAATAATTTTTTTAAATCACGGATTTCGACTCATTACAAGAATTTAATCCATTGACACAATTCTAAATATATTTTCCCCAAACAGGAAACCACTCCCTACCGAATACCAAACGATCTTCTCCTCCGCCCAAAACGTGGAATTCCTCTCGTTCGAATTTCAATTTCCCGGTCACCTCGAATCTCTCGCCACGCTGCCCCCACAACTATCCTTCCCCCACTTGAAAATACTCTCCTTCTGTACGACCTGCATCCGCCCCCTAACGGACGGACTAAAGTGGACGGAGGAAAGCTTGCGCGCCGTGTTGGGCAAGATTACCGCGGCGGCGCCGAATCTCGCCGACGTCTCGGCTGGGCGGGACGAAACGATGGGAATTATTCTTGAAGAGGTCGCCAAATCGGGGGGAATACGCCGCCTCGAGGAGAAAATTCAGGCTATCGAGACCTGCCCGAAAACCAGAACGACCACGATTTTGATGGAGACGGGGTTCGAAAATCTGAAAACTCTCAAGCTCGCGATTCGTTCGGAAACGCGGGACAATTTTGGGAAGATTGTGGAGAAGTATAAGCACACTTTGGAAAAGCTGCATGTCTCCTTGGCGTATGGGGGCGGGGGGTGGTTGATCTTTCCGAAGAGTATGGACAGGTTGGAAGAATTACGTAAGTTGGAAGGACGAAGGTGTGTAATACACTCTTAGAAGTTTGAGATATGTTTGTGGTCTGACAGGTCTAGATTTCTTGGTATTAAAGTTGTTACCGCTTGCTATTAAAATTCATTAAGGGGTTAATTCTGGCACGTGGTAATTCTGCGGGGGGAGGGGAATTCAGCAGTTTTAACAAAAACTTTAACTAAATTTTATGTTTCGTCATATTGATAAATTTCCAACCAGAATTTTTCAATTTTTAATTTTATCAATTTTTACGGACGACTTTAAATAGGTTTTCTTCGGAATTAAATCATTTCTCATAAAAAGTGTCAAAAAGTTCAAGTTTTAAAAAAAACTTTGTGGTTTTTGCATATCGGACCGAATTTTGAACTTAAAGTTATTCGTATTACTACACAGATTTGCTTAATACAGTCAGGAGCAAAATGATAGGCGATATGGTTTTTTCCACTTAATTTCCATACTAGTGTTCCGAATGACTTGAAACTTTACACAATTCTGTATAATGGCATTACTTTATTCTAACATAAGTGTGACATATCAGCTTCATCGGGAAAATTACTTAGCTGGAAAAACTTAAAAAATAGGTGGTGCAAAATGATAGGCGATCGTCAATATTTTAAAATTAAAAATCTGTATTTATTTTGCTCGGCAATATTTGAAGTTTCTAGTGACTTTAAGTACTTCGAGGGTCTTTGAAATAAATTCATTAACTCGGGGGTTCAAGTGGCCCACGAGCTATTGGAGCGTCTGTTTCCCCCATTTCGCCGAAATTTTCAAAATCGCACCTCTCAGTTGATTGACGTGGTCATACTGTTTTGAAATGAGGTACGCATCGCATACCGATATACCCAAAAGAGTTTCGATCGAATTTAAGGTGGTAATCATGCTTATGCTATCCAGATGACGTAATTTTCTTTAGAAAAAGTTCTTATGGGTCAGCCTAAGCGAATAAATAAATGTGTTACCTTTGTCACTAACTGAATTTCGCCCTCCCATTTTGACTACCGTGTTCCCTAGACCTTCGTGAACTAGATTGACACAGTAGAAAAGACCCGTTTCGCTTGGCATACACAAAATACTGCCCTGACCCTTATACCAAACGCTGCAAAAATCATGACCAGTCCACCACCATCCCACCGGAGAGGATATCATACCAGTTGGAGTGGAAACCTTCGCACCCATCCACCACCGTCCTTCCTGTGCAGATATCGTGGCACTTGGAGTGGAGTAGTACATCTGCCAAGTTTTCAGGAGAGTACGAAGGTTTCCACTCCAACTGGTATGATATCCTCTCCGATGGGATGGTGGTGGACTGGTCATGATTTTTGCAGCGTTTGGTATAAGGGTCAGGGCAGTATTCTGTGTATGCCAAGCGAAACGGGTCTTTTCTACTGTGTCAATCTAGTTCACGCAGTACGAGCAGAAATACGCATTGGAATTGATTCGAAAAGTCTTTTAATAACACTTTTTGACATGGCTGCCTAATCTTTTTTCGAAATTTCGGCCAGCTCTTTTTTCGACGAGTGGTTTTCCACCAGTCTCTCCTTTCTGTACCCGTACAATCAGATTCACATCGGGAGACTGTGCAACCAACGAAAGAAGCTTAAACTCTTAGTTCTCCAAAAACTTGCATCGTTAATTGGGGTAGCTGTTTTGGGTCACAGCATTTTTGGAATATTAAATTCCTGCCCATGTCAGGTTTTTGCCAAATAATTTCAAATTATCGTTTGGAATAATATTTAGACCTCATTGGTCATGATTTCATCGATAATGACCAGGTAAGTACGCCAGGACCTAGTCATTTAACCCCAAACCATAATCGATCGTCCTGCCTGATTGACTCCCAGACGGCAGCATTCATTTTTTAGAGCCTCATTTTGCATCCTCCAAACTCTAACCATCCAACCCGCACCCAATAAGTTAAATTTACTTATGTGAGACCTCTAGACCCTTCTTCATTCATTGGAAGTCCATTTAGGGTGATATTTAGCTGATTTACAGTATCGGCAGAAAGTCATTATACCCTCATACTTTTTCCACTCCAAGCATGATATTGTTCGAGAAGCTTGAGGGGATGAACTGCAATTTTGCACAATCACTTATGATAATGTAAGGTTTTCGGAACCATACTTTGAATGACGGCGGGGCACAAGTAACGATACGGTTGAATTATATTTAAAATTCCAACAGGAAAAAAGTCTTTACACCCCTAATAAAGTTTAATAAAAAATTTGTTCATAGTGTTTCTTGGTTAAATAATAGCCAAATTAGAATCTGGGCTGTCCACCTCGATCGTTTAGTAAGGCAAAGACACATCTTGGCATCGACTCAAAAAATGAGCTCCAAACAGAAGTGTCGAAATTCTACTTTTCAAGCCTTATGGCGTCGATCAATCCTTTAAGGTTTGATAGCGTGGGCTGGGCAATTTTAGGCTTCACAATTGACATTAAATGTTCGTGAACATGCTGTCCGTTGACTATAGAGGGCAATCCAACAATTCTAACTTCTTCGTTGTAAACCAAATCTTCAATAATTTTGATGTATACTTAGAATCACATTCGTATTTAAAAATAAAATTATTCCCCAACGGTTATTTCCTCCTGACAGTATCAAATTCCAACCCAGAACGTCGCAATAGTAGTTGGAGTACATGATTACTTCGATTTTGTTAAAGCTTCGGACGCCCTTCCGCGGCGTATCGCCCAAACACTTCGATTTCAACCCCCATTCTTAATGGTTAGCGTACCGTAGTTGGGTTGGCCAGCTTCTCTTTGCTGAATGCATATTCCAGTGGTCCCAATTTGACCAAGCAGGTTCATGTTGACGTCGCCGAGCAATGTCAGGAGTTTCCAACATTTAACCGCCGAACAGTGATGCTTTTTGGCCTATTTAGCGTGGGCTTCAATATAGGCCTCGCGGAGAAATTGATTTCTCCATGTTGCTCGCTATTCAAATCGATCTTAACTGATCCTATTGTCTATAGTTCACACAGAAACTTGAAGATGATATTCCTCCCTCGTTTCCAAGTTGATTTTTGGTAAAGATAACCGTGAAGTCTTTGGCTTTTGGAGCAGTTGCCGTGATGAGTCCATGGGGATGTGACCCATGTACTTGATAAAGCTGTTAAGTTCCATACCATCTCAGCTTTTAAGTAGTTCTGGACTATGCTGGCAACTTTACCAACCCTAATGGGTGGTTAGTCGGAAATTCTTTGGTGTCGAAGCGTTTTATCATCAAAATTTACGACATTTTTCCCCAGGACGGGGCTAAGGTGTTTTTGAGTGATTATGAGCTAATATTGATAACAGATAAGTAGTGCAACATAAGAAAAATGTTATTTTTCAAAGAATAATGCATCACCTGGTGGGTGAAGAACGTTTTAAGAGGGTGTTTTCAGAAATTACACTAAAAGTACAAAAAAGTCAGAGGGTGTAAAGACTTTTTTCCTGTCGGAATTTTGGATATAATTCCACCTTGTCGTTGCTTGTGCCACGCCGTTACCCAAATTATGGTTTCGAAAATGTTTCACCATGATAAGTATTTGTGCAAAATTGCAGTTCATCCTCTCAAGCTTCTCGAACAATATGAGGCTTTATGCGCAAAAAGTATGAGGGTATAATGACTTTCTGCCTATACTGTAAATATCTTGAGTTGGTTCGTTTTTTGGGTCCTCTCTTCTATCGGGCTACTGGACCCTGAAACCCCATTGTATGATTTTTGATTGATCACACTATTGTATTAAATATTGACTCCATAATTGGTTCTCAAATTCTAATTGCTTTTGGGTGTTGAAATCTTCCGATTTCAAGTAATTTGTTGCTTGATTCATCAGCTACTTTTGGGCGTTGGTGACTTTTTTTCTTTCCCATCATGGAAAAGTAGGAACTAAAATTGTCATTTTATATTTTTTGGCTACATTTCCAACAGTAAATGTGGAAAACTATGTTTTCTCTTTGATTTTTCGATATCAAAGTTTTTTTGTGAATAAGAATTGATTATTTCTCGCCGCGCCAAATAGAGCTCGTTTGGTGTCGCCATTTTGGTTCCAGACAACACAATTGCGGACTTATAATGTAGCTAACATCATATTTTGTCACCTAATTAACTTACCGTAATGAGTCGCGGTAGGTGGTTACGAAAATTGTTTCGCGTAATTAATTGGGCCACATGTTGCCAATACTTTTTGCGGGTTAATTTTGCAAATTTTCCAACAAATTATTTAAAAACTGTGTTCATCTAATTTTAATCAATAAAACATGACTATAATCGAAAACTACATTACATTTGTTAAATACGTACAAATTTGCATGCTAATTGTATAATGCATTCCAATGGTATAGCCAATTTTATTTAGTTGGCGTGGGGGTTGCCAAAACTTGTTCCATTGACTGTAAGTTTTTCCAGCTAAGTAATTTTCCCGATGAGGCTGATATGTCACACTTATGTTAGAATAAAGTAATGTCATTATACAGAATTGTGTAAAGTTTCAAGTCATTCGGAACACTAGTGTGGAAATTAAGTGGAAAAAACCATATCGCCTATCATTTTGCTCCTGACTGTATTACAAACATTAATCTGGAACGAAGACCTATTGTTAAAAACTAATCTTTTCTTTCTCTTTTTTTTGCAGACGTGGACTTCAACTGTCCATTTTTTCAGGATGAATACGCCAAGAAATATCCGGCCTTAAAATTCCCTTCTTGTACCGAATCCGGGCACGAATTCTACCCCAAGTTGGAGAAAGTTGTGATGGGAGGGACTCGTCAGACGGAACGCGTCATGCCAAAATATTTGGCCATCATTTTTCCGGGACAATATTGGTAAATAGTGACGCACTCTTAAAAATAATGAGGGGGGTCTAAAAAATCGCGATGTAATTCTTCCATCACGAAATTTATGGACGGCCCCTAATTTTAATCTCAAATCCTCCCAGGGCTTGCATTTCCAAGGCTGTTAGACCCACGCAACGACCAAAATTTACATTATGAAGGCAGCAATCAGCCATAAATACATTTTTCGTCAAGAAAGTAATCATTTTATCTCTGTAAAAATCCTTGATTTTCACGATTTTCTAAAACTAAAGTATTTTGACACATAAAAAAAACTTAATTTCTTGACAAAATTTATATTTCCATATGATTGTTGCGTTATCCATGCAGATTTTCGTAGCTTTGTGCGTATGAAATCCAGACCCTGGGAACAACGGAGATTATGTAAAGTACTGTATTTTCACAAGTGCATCCTTGCTTTTTACCAAATTAACGCTACTCTGGATTTTGTATACGTTACTTAATTGAGTAAATCAGTCAATTAAATTCAGTAAATTGGTCAATTAAATTCATTAAATGCGGTCTTAATTCAATGAATTTAGACCGCATTCACTTTTGAAAAGGGTAACATTCCCTGTAAGAATCCACGGTTTTAATTATTTGCAACTTATAACAACCATTATGACAAAAATTTTCTTTCTTTAAGGCGGAAACGGCTTCCCATGCCAGAATTTGGATTTCCATCCGTACGCCATCTCGAGCTCGAGAAGTACGACTACGACGTGGAGGAATGGGATTTGGCCACGTTTCGACGGATCGTGAATTACTTCCCGAACTTGTACAATGCTGATACTTCTGATATTGCTACCGAATACGATGACGACGACGACAGCGAGGACACTTCGGAGGAGGAATTTTTTTCTGAGTCTGACTCCGACGAGTAGGTTAAGGTTGAATTGTGTGTGGGTTTTGAATTTGAATTTTTTTGTCTCAACTTTCTCTTCTTCCACGTATTTATGTATTTAAATAGAACGGTTTTGTAACTTGTTCATCTTTTACATGTGTTTTTTTTACAAAATTAGGATTTTATTATATCTCAAAATCGATAATTATGCAAAGTTAGAAGGTTAGAATTTTCCCGTTCTTCTTCGATGAGAAATAGAAATATAACAAAATAATAAGTATCAACTAAATATTTGTTGAACGATATACGTATGTTTTCTATGCATAAATCAGCATAAGCGGGTGTTTTTCAATTGCCATATATGTATATTATTGTAAGCATTTATGTAAATATGTGTGTTTTAGTGAATGCCAAAAAAAATTAAAGTCAATTGGTACAGCCGTTTTGGCTCTATCGTGCCGGACAGACAGACGGACGGACGGACATGACGGTTCCATAAGCCCTGACTCGGGCTAAAAAGCCATTATTCAAAGGGATTCATAAGATTATTAGGTTTTATCATTTTATTTTTAATTCGCATGAAACACATAAATATGTATAGAATTTTGTTTGGGATAAAATATATAGATACATACAGTATGTAACTTTATTGTAGATGCAGTGCATGTATTTGATATATAAATCGGGAATACTTTGTAGCGACTAAATATTTCAAACTGGTTTTTATACCATTTATTAACAATGTTTCATACTACAATCATGCAAAATTTGGAATGATTAGAGCTAAAACTCAATAATTTATAGATATTTCTATGTCAAAAAGTTGCAAATTGGACTCAACGTAATTGTAGATGCAGCTGAATTTAATTACAATTACGACCCAGTCATTCACTCACGAGACAAAAATGATGTTCGAGAAGCTCATTTTGGGTAACATCAGTTGTCTATGTATGCTCTCAATAAAAATATTTTTTCGAAACATTATTTCAAAATTGTATACATAATAACGAGGTCAATCTAATAACTCGGACTGAAAATGTTGCGTGTCATGAAAAAGTTTCTAGTTATGGAAAAACTGGCGAAAACTTTCGAGACTCTAATTTAAACAAGCAATTTATTTAGATTGTTTGAGGGATACTTCTTACATAGTGAAATAAGCGGCTGTTTTTACTCTATCAATTATGTATACATATTTAAATAGACAAATATGTACATGACGAAATGTCTTAAAAACGCCAATATTCAAATGATTTATTGGATTATCTAACATATTTAGGAAAATAATTTTGTTTTATAATTAAATACTTATACAAGGTAGTGCTGACATGAATCCGGATTCGGCTGCAATCGAACCGCAAAATCGAGAATAATAAAATGTCAAATCTGAACTCGTAATCAAGATGGCCGAATCCCAATAAACACGGGGTCGGAGTTTAGATGCGACCCTGGAGTAGAATCCGACTCGTATTCAGGCATAATTAAGTATGATTCTTATATGGGAACACGGAGCCGGATTCACCCGAATTCGGATTCGACCGGACACTACCCCCGAAATCCTGGATTCAGACCCGGACCGAAGATTGTCGGATCGAAAAACAACGCGAGAATCGACTTGAAATCGGGATTCAGAGTAGAATTGGACTCGTTCGGTGCCCTTAGGCAAGGCATATCTACTTCTATATATTATTTCCATAAGCGGGGCATCAGAAAAAAACCACTTATTTATTTATGTAACACGTATCCCTGAAGCAACCCTGCTTACGTTAAGGTTCCGACTAATACCCCAAGTAGCCAAGATTATCGGGCCGAAGGATATTAAAGGGTGGCATAGTTGGGCGATGGTTGGCCGACTGTGCCAACCATTCCCCTCCCGATTTTTGCAGACAAGTTTTAAGCAAAAAGTGCATGTAGAAATTTTTACATTTACTTCCTTCCTACCGAGGGTGGGACAAGGTTGGCAAAAGTATATTTAAATTGCATCTGACAAAAACTGTCGGCACGAGGTCGTACCATCCGTGGCCAAAAATACCATAGTGCGCCATCTATCCACTACAGCGCCAATCGTACTTTCAAGTCCATTTCCAGCACGAGAATCTGCCAGCATGGCTAAAATCACTTTTCCTCCAAAAAATAAATTCGCCATCGTCGAATTTAAAGAAGATGATAACTCTGTGTCGATAGTGTCAACAAGTTGGCTCATAGACTTATCCACAGTCCTCTGGCCATCATCACCCAACGTCACTTCTATGGTGAAAAAACACAAGGCACCAGAAGAGAGTTGGGCACGACATAATTGTAAAATTTTGAAAATTAAAGGTGAGTTAATAAAGCGATAATAATTTTAGATGAGATAATAATTTTATCATTTTATTTCCTAATACGCAAAATTCTTATCTTTTTTATTTCCAGATACTTTTGATGATGCACTTGTTGTATTGCGTTTAGCCGAGAAATCAAATCAGTCGACACTTGAAACTACCGTGGATGAGGATGAAAGTCGTCGTCCTAGGCGACGAAGACGAAATAAACAAAAGAAAAAAGTAAACTCTGAATCTTCTGGGTCGTCGCCGAGTAAGGACCCAATTGATAGCGACATCGAAATTCCAAGCACGTCATTTACCTCAATTACTACGTCAAAACCAGTCGAACCGAATTATTCAAGTGATTCTGACCACGATCAAATTCACTCGCCGAGTGTGTCCAACGGTATTTAAACATTCTTTTATTTAAAGTGTTTTTAAATTGACTGTTCTGTTCACAATTATGTAAAATTATATATGATTTCCTCCTTATTTACGATTTTAGTTGGTCCGAATAGTTGCCCAATTATATCAAGTCCTAAGTTGATATTGGTTGATCACGGAACGGTGGCATTAAATTTCAACCTTGATTTAAGTGATATCCCTCCAAGTGTTAACAGTCTTCCAGGCTTTAGTGGGGATTTAGTTGGCAAAAATGACACGGGTAGCTATTTTATATATATTTGTACAGATATACATAAAGTCATTGCTTTATGTATCTAAAATTTATTCGTAGAATTTGAGAAAATCGTTATTGATCGTTTGGCTAAATTAGAACAACTTGTCACGGAACTGTTGAGAAGGTCAGGTGGGATTAACATATCTCCCCCAACTAAAATAAAATTGCACAAAATTCCTGTGGTGACTGTTGCTGAGTTTAAGTCATTAAACGTGTGGATTCAGGTGCAGGAAAATCGTGACTGTTTGGTAAGGGTATAAAATTAGTTAAATAAGTTTAGTGTAATAATAATCTTCTATTTAGGTCACGGAATTGGCACTCATTGGCGCAAAAAGGCTCTCTCTCCTGGTTAGCAGAATACTGAAAAAACTTTTTGCAAATAGTCTCGCAAAAATCATTACTGTCACTGGAGCAGGGAAGGATATTGAAATTGCTTTAAACAACGAGCCAATTTATCAAATTATAAGAGGTAAGATCTTGAGTGACAGTACAGATCCAAAGTTGTAATTTAATGAAGTTGGAATTTCAATGAATTGATTAATCTAGATTCCGTGCGTGCCACAAACGGTTATAGTTTATCTACGGACCAGGAAATTGGAAGTTATGTTGCATCGTGGCTAAAGGGTGCTGAAGACAGAGAGGGCGGACGAGAAAAACGACGACAGAATGCTAACCTCAAACAGAACAAAGGCAAGAAGAAGGAAGGCGGAAGTGGCAACCCTTCTTCATAATATAAATATAGCTTCCTCCTCTACTATTCTAGCGCCAGTATCAAGTGTGGATGGTGAATCAGTTTCAGAATCTCAAGTAATAATTAGTAGTTTGCATGATAGTGTAGAATATTCGTCAAATTCAGAGAATAATAGTTATAGCTTTACAAGTTTCAGTGAAAACGAATCGTTCAATGAAGAGCAAACACCATTTCCTCAAAAACTTCGAGGATGGGCTTTGTCCCATAATATTACACATGTTGCTTTAAAAGAATTATTATCATTATTATCTAGTAGTCTCAAATTAACAGTTCCACTAGATCCTCGAACATTATTAGAAACTCCCCGAGTAGTTGAAACTGATTTTATTTCTGGTGGAGAATTTGTATATTTCGGAATAGAAAAAAATTTAAAGAGATCAATTTCAAATATCGCTCACCTCGTTCAGCCAAAATCAACAATTTTTAGCAAATTTTATCACGATTTTGGCGAAAATCTTGTAACAATATCTGTAGGTGTGGATGGTATTCCATTAAGTAGGAGTACAAGATCCCAATTTTGGCCGCTTCTTGGTAAAATTGATCAACTTAAAATTAATTCAATTTTTGTAATAGGGCTATTTTACGGAGTTCAAAAACCTACTAATTTAGATTTTCTAAATGATTTTATTGCTGAGACAATTACACTAGAGAAGGATGGATTTAATCATTTAGGGAAGAAATTTCATTTCAGAATTTCCTGTATTATTGCTGATGCTCCAGCTAGAAGTTTCATTAAGGGAATTAAGAATCATAATAGTTATTCAGGGTGTGAGAAATGTGTTCAACACGGCGAATTTGGAAAAAGTGTAGTGTACACTGAATTAAATTCAGCTTCGCGTACAGATGAATCGTTTCGTTCACAATTAGACGAGAATCATCATAAATTTTCTACTTCTTTATCAAAATTGCAAATTGGCTTGGTCTCGCAGATTCCATATGACTATATGCACATGTGTTGCTTAGGGGTCATGAGAAAACTTTTGCGACAGTGGGCAAAAGGGAAATTGCCTCATAGAATGCAGAGTAAAATTATTAATGAAATTTCAGACAGATTTATAAATTTCAAAACGTTTATGCCTCGTGATTTTCAGCGAAGACCAAGAAGTTTGAATGAGATTGATAATTTTAAGGCCACGGAATTTAGAACGATAATGCTGTACACAGGTCCAGTAGCACTGAAAAATGTCTTACCGGAGAAGTATTACATTCATTTCCTTTATTTTCATTGTGCTATGTTTATTCTTTTATCGGCCAATGCTGATGACCCCGAGTGGAACGCTTTAGCCAGGCGGTTGTTGACAAAATTTATTTTACAATGCAGAGTCGTATATGACAGTAATTTTATGGTTTATAATGTCCATGGTTTATCACATATTCATGAGGACGCTCTAAACTTCGGACAATTAGATAATATTAGTGCGTTTGGTTTTGAAAATTTCATGCAGCAACTGAAGAAAATGACAAGAACAAAAACATTTTATCTCCAACAGGTTGCAAAAAGAATCGTAGAAAACGAAAAGTGTAACGTTATTAAGAGAGAATTAGACGAGAAACGCGAAAATTTTCAAGCAAACAAAATAATTGTAAATAGCTGTTATTCTCTGAATTCTGGTCAAATTATTATAGTTCGAAGAATTACGTACAATAGATTTAAAAATGTTAAAATAGTTCATTACGAAACATTTAGTAACAAAAAATCACTATACGAAAAACCTATAAGTAGTTGTAAGTTAGGAATTTTTATTTTAGGAAATGAAATGAAAAAAACTTGTGAGCTGAATTGTTTACAAATTGCACATAGATGTATTTTGTTACCCTTTAAAGAGAACTTTGTCTGTTTTCCATTACTACATGATATCAAATAAATGAACTAAATCAGAAATAAACAGTGTGAGATTATTAAAATTCGTTGGGGAATGGTTGGGGCCAACCATGGCATTGGATCGGTAGGATGGTGGGCGGCTGATGGCACGAGGTCGGGAAAAACATTTCCAACCTTCGGCCCGATAATTTTGGCCACCCACGGCCCGACTTAAAACACGAGGACAAGATGGTACCTTCGGCCGACATTATTGGCCACTCGAATACCACTGTCGGGCCGTTCAATCTTGGCGACTAGGGTAATTATACACCGCAATAAGTACAAACATACATACATACCTGTATCTCTTTAGATGGTAGCGGATCAGAAGTTCATTATCAATTATGAAAGGCTTTCTAGCAAATATGAAATATTTAATAACCTGATTACCCATAGTCTCCTTACCTAAGTAATCAATATTCCAACATCTTCCCAATATGTATGAATTGTCCAGTACTACGTATTTCTATTGTAAATTATTTCTCTTGCATTCCTTATATGTCGCAATTTTATACTCTATATTCTTCCCAGAAGTCAACATTCAACCTCAAAACTGCTTAATCTCGAATAAAACCATAAAATGCCAATTCGGAACAACTTCGCCAATTATTTAACCAAAGTTACATCTTTTAACTCATTTAATTATTCCCATACTGATCTGCTGTCTCCCGGATTGTGGAACGTTTTATCAAAATACGTGACCACTTTTAGACATTTCATTCCCTTCGGAATTTTATTAAAGGAACGAAAAATATTTTTGGTGAAATGCTCCCTCCTGAAGCGTACATTTCTTATCCTTTCAACCACGCTAATCATAGTGTATCCCTTCATCACAGTATTCCTACTGATTAACAAATTGTTATTTACACGACAGGAAGCCTCGGACGATATGCAGGGATGGATAAGAACCTTAGCAATGTTTTACGTTGTTTTTCTCCTTCCTGTCGTCATCCGACGAGTGTAATGATTTCTTTCCGAGTAGGAACAGTTTGTCAAGTGGTAAATGCGATTGCCGAATTTCGTGATAGGATAACAAGTAAGTAAATACTCAGTAAGTAAATACTAAGTTTTTGGTTTGCATCTCTAAATAGGACAAACATTTTTCCTGAAAACTTTGTTGAGTGCGTGTTAAAAGAATCCATTCATCAGCGCTATCATAGCCATGGCTGCACTCTTAGGAATGGGGTTACGATTATAACTAAAACGTAAACGTATGGGACTCTACCGCAGTGGTTATGAATGTGTCACCAACTGTTTATAATACCAAGCCAGAGAGACTTGATAATTAGTCAATGACAATTGTAACCACTCGATGATAAATTTATAACCACGGCGGTAGAGTCACATACGTTTACTTTTTGGCTATAATCGTAACCCCATTTCGAAGAGTATGTCATTTAAAAATACAAACCTACCTAGTTTAAGAAATTATAACAACGCAAATTCTAAATTATTATTGGTCTTGCTCAGCTCTAGGTAAGATTCATCACCGGCCCCCCATCAATAAAATCTTGGAGATCTCTTTACCACAGAATATAGATTCTACCAGAAGAATCGATCTTATGTATTCGAGTGACGCTTATAGAAGAATGGGGAGAGCCCATCAAATAACTCGGTGTACATTTGGCCCACCTGGGGGATGGCACCTCCGCATCATCATCACCACATCTCCTGGCATCAAAAAATGATGATGAAAGCACATAGGTGGCGGTGGCACCCCGATTTGTGCACCAGAACGCACCCTCGTAGAGCATCAAATTTGTGCAGACGCAGCTCCATGAATGACATGAATGACACTCCATGTCCTCAGAATGGTGTGTTCTGGTGCACAAATCGAGGTACCACCGCCACCTATGTGCCTTCATCATCATTTTTTGATGCGAGAGATGTGGTGATGATGATGATGCGGAGGTGCCATCCCCAGGTGGGCCAAATGTACACCGAGTTATTTGATTGGCTCTCCCCGTTCTTTCATAAGCGTCACTCGAATACATAAGATCGATTCTTCTGGTAGAATCTATATTCTGTGTCTCTTTACAAGCCTTCACTCAAGTTTCGCCCTCCCTCCCCGCAATTGTTGTTCCTGTAGGTGTCTGGCTGGATATAGATCCGTTTCGTTTTCTCAGCCGAATCATAGTTTTTCAAGGATCAGACTTGATAACAATTCCGTTACGAACTTGGATCATAACTTGGGTCGGGGTGGAACTACTAAAATCATTTTGCGGTCTTGCCGCAGTAGGTCTGATAGTTTTGGCCACATTGACTCAAATAAGGCGTGTCCAGGGTTAAGTTGGAAAAGGTAACTTTAAATCATCCTGCGCAATTCGTCAAGATTTTGGTTCAGCTATATTATTTTTTTGAGGCGTAATTTCAAGGGCAACCAGCAGGTATTTTGCTTTTTTTGTAAAAATGGTGAAATTCGTTAGAAATCTGGGTAAAAGTACAAGCCTCGCGAATCGCGTTTTTTCAAACCCTGAAAAACTTCGTCATTTACAATATCTTCATCACTAACTCTTCCTCGTCAAGTCGTGGCTCTGCACGAATACTGAAAACTTCAAAAAGTTTGTTTCGCCAGGTGGGCATAAAAAACAAAACCCCCCACATGTCCCGATTTGCTAGAAATCGAAAAGTTTTTTGCCTTGTGCTAAAGAAGGTACTCTAACCTTCGCTCCAAGGCGAAAAAGCTGGCTGGATTCGAACGTTAATCGCAAAAAATCAGCCAAGACATCTCGCAAACTGGTGGAAAATCGAAAATTTGAGGGTTGGTGCGGAAAGTTGGAATGGTGGCCAATATAGGGCTGCGGCAAATCTTCCGCGACCAAACCTGTTTGGTATGATTGCCACCTACACTGTACCAAAGGTTTTATAAAAAATTTCTAAACAGGACGAATTCCACAGGTCATTATTCTCATTCCAACTTAAGCCTGGACACCCTATAATGGCGCGGTGTAGAAAAGTACTGAACAAATGGCCAAATTCTCAAATTAAAGTTATGAAAGTGTATAAGGAATTGCAAATTTGGAATTTTTACGGCAACCAAAATTTTTGCAAGTTTGCTGTCCCACCACTCATATTTTTTGGAATGGGTATTATAATTTGTGCGACATATCTAACTATCAGAGTACCGGGTAAAATTCCGTCTCTCTTGTATTTACTGTTTCCATCGACCAGTATGGTGGGATTTGCCTTCGTTGTGACGATCGGGCCTCAGGCAGCGATGGTCTGGGAAGATTCGGTTAGTTTTCTTGGGTTTCTGAGGGGCACGTGCTTCTCGAAGTATGAGGCGAGAATCTTCCGTTCCCTGAATAAGGTGGGAATGGCGAATGGGCCTTTTGGAATGGCAACGAAATCATGGATAACGGATATTGTGTGGAATATTATAAATTACACGATTAATTTGTTGTTAACGTTTTAGAAAGATTGGACAAAGTAAGAAATAAAGTCCAAGAAAGTGCGACAAGTTAAAAAACAAGATGGAATATGAACAAAAGAATATCTTCAGTCGGAAATCATGATTACCGTATTTTGAAAAAGAATTAACAATGAATTTTTAATTCATTGTCACTTTATATTTCCTTATTTATCAATCAAAAGCAAATTTTAGTATTAATTTAGTAATTAAATAGCATAAAATTCTTTATCTTATACAATTATCACTACTCATAAAGAGCCAGCGTATTCCCTGCCTGGCTGTGGAGAATTATGCAAATGAGGAGAGGAGTAGAGGAGACAAAGAAAAAAGCGGAGCCACCACCACCACCACACTGCATGAATGAATGCATGCATGAAAATGTACACTGACAATGGAACCCTTTTTCAAGCTACACCGGGATTGACTAACGAGTTATATCAAAAAATCAAGCAAAAAATTAGGAGTCACATGGTGCTTATCGTTCCGTTGAATGACCCCTTTGAAGAAAAATATTGGGGGTCAAAGTACCCTCGAGCGCCGTGGGTTTTCGCCTGGTGGGGAAACAGGGAGAGAAAATTAAATAAAAAATTGAACTTTGCCGCCAATATTTTTCTTCACAGGGGCCATTCAACGGAATGATAAGCGCCATGTGATTCCTAATTTTTGGCTTGATTTTTTGATATAAGTCGTTAGTCAATCCCGGTGTAGCTTGAAAAAAGGTTCCATTGTGAGTGAGCAGCATACATACATACATACATACATACATACATCACTCATCAATAGTGGTTATCATGATAAGTGATCGTGATAATCACTATTAATTAATTATTTTAGTTTGAGAAACTCCACCCACAGCGAGTGGCATATCAATTCGAATGTATTTTTGACGCTGAATCCAACGCCGCCAATGGTTTTGACCTGCGAGGCCCCCGTGACCTTCCCGTGACCGTGGGGTTCAAATATGGCTTATTCGTGATGTCGCATATCAATTCGAATGTATTTTTGCCGCTGAATCCAACGTCGCCAATAGCTTGGCGTTAATTGTAGAAGTTAACGGGGTTTATGGAACTTAACGGGAGCGTGAAGCGTGAGAATTTAAATTGTTAGCTATGCAGTTACTCCCACGCGACGGGAATTTAAGTAATTGGCTATTCAACTACTCACACAGGGGGAAATCAAATTGTCATGTGACCAGATTAATTAAAATGCAGTATGACTTGGGCAAACCCCCACTCTGATGTATGTATGTAGTATGACAAACTCTCCACTGGGAATTATTTAAAGTATAGTATGACGGATTTTTCTCTTTTGGCACACCCCCCACTGGAACTCTAGAACACGGCCTTGGCCGGGCTATACGCTAGTTACACTATAATTAAGTACTCGTTATTAGTAGTATGATTGGTAAAACTACAAAGCATTATTTAATAAATAGCTTGTTTTATTGATCGCTTTAACAGAATAAGATTACATAAAATAATCAATAATCCTTAACATTAGTTAATATTTTTGTTAAGATAAGTATGTATGATAGCTATGAAATGTTTTGTAATGGGAAAAGCAGATTTACATGCATATTCTAATTGAAAACGTACCTATTTACTTACTTCTCAAAAAATAATAGGAATATTTAACTAAGGTGCAAAATTAAATAAATACTTTGTTTGAAGCTCCTTGGACTTTCTACGCCAATTATCATTATCCAATCATAATTGGACCTTAGCGCAGGATTTTTGAAACGCGATGGCTAATTTCACACTTTTAAAACCCAAGAACGTTCGAGTCTTAAACCAGCGACTACATTTCTTACCAGAAAACCATCGGGAACATTACGGAAAATACAGAAAAAAATCGAAACGAGTAAGTCGCCAAAAAAATAAGGTTAGCGAGAAGTTCTCTGATCTTACTTAACGAGTTAACATAAAAAAATCATGTCAAAAATAGGGAATTACATGGCGCTGATCATTCCATCGAATGGCCCATTTAAAGTAAAATATTGGGGGTTAAAGTCCCACGAGCACCTTGGTTTTCGCATCGTGGAGGGAAAGGGAGAGATAATTTACTAAAGAGCTGAACACTGCCTTAAATATTTGTCTTCAAAAGCGCTATTCAACTGAATGATAAATGTCACGTGATTCGTAATTTTTGGTTCGATTATTCGATATACCTTGTTACACAATCCAGGTGTGGATTGAAAAAAAGTTTGTTAGTACACTCAAAACAAAAATTTGTCGAATCAACACCGTCGGTATCAATATGTGACTTAACCGCCTTGGTTACAATGTTGATTCCGAGTTATGATGATTTTTATACCGGTAGTTATAATGTTATGATCGGACGGAAATATTTCATTACGACTCGGAATCACAATTGTAACCAAGGCGGTTTAGTCATACATTGACACCGGCGGTGTTGATTTGACAAATTTTTGTTTTGACTGTATATGTATGCAATCCGGCAGGTATTGATTCCACCCTAAATGTGCGTATTACTTACCATTTGCCGTACTTAAATAAATGTTAAAGTGTGTGGAGAAGATTATAAGATCTTGCGGTAGATTTGTGATGAACAAATGGAAATATGATTCGATTACTGATAATATCAATGTTGATTTACAATGGTTGGAAGCTGATAATTTATGTAAATATGAAGTATCTAAATTGTCGTGCAAAATGTTAAATCAGTGTGGCCCCAGTTCCTTTCACAACTATGTGTCGCAACAAGTTTTTGAAACGAAAATAACCAGAAATCGGTTATACTCAGAACCTTTTATTGCAAGTAGTAAGATATTCATGAAGTCCTTTAAGTATCGGGCAGCAAAAGTTTGGTCAATGTTACCTGAAGATATTAAATTAAGCTTCTCAAATATTAGTTTCAATATATTTAAAGTTAAAGTTAAAGCTCACTATCTTAATCAGCAATGTGAGGAAAGGTTAATTGATATTTTTAGTATGATCGACGAATATGAAAATAATAGAGACTAAATTTAATCGTTATCCTAATTATATTATTATTCTGACTTATCCATGTTTAATGTACATGCCTTGAGATGTAATGACCCAATATTGGGGTGTCTCATTGAATAAATATTATTATTATTATTATTACATATATACATCGATTCATGCAAATTATGTACATAGAAGACTGCCTCTATAATCAAGGAACTACTTATGATCGATACATTTTTCTCACGGACATATGCATCAAGTTTTCCAATGCTGGATTTTCCAATCCGTGCAATATTTACTTACGACGATCACTTCACTTCATTAAAACTACGTACAGAGTGAAGAGAAAAATTAAAAAGTCTAAATTTCGTATTTATTCCCAGTCTTAAAAGTGCCGTGAAGACATAGGTAAATACATACACTGGTATTGATTTGATAATAACTTGGTGATAGTTTGATTTTGCGTGGTAAGTTTTTATTGCCATAATATAACTATGTATATTTCCGGTAATGCCCGTTACTACGGTGTGGGCAAATTCATAGATATAAATATGTGCTCCGGTCAGTAATGATTGAATGCCACATTGTTCATGGGAGTGTCCATATATCACGTCATCAAAAGGGTAGGTCGGGGTCGCATTATCTTTCTCGGGTTTAAGATTCCTTAATCCGTTTAAATTTCAACGGGGTTTCATTAAATAAATAAATAATTTACATAATGTAGAAGAAACTTTGGTAACGTGAAGATGTCCAGTTGGACGATGAAAGACATTCCCAACTTGACCGGAAAAGTTGCCCTGGTTACCGGAGGAACACGTGGTATCGGTCTGCACACAGCACTCGGATTAGCCTCTGCCGGAGCAGAGGTCACAATTCTTGGAATTACTGAATTATGTAGATAGCTTCTCCACAACTGGAATTTGCAATCCTCGTAGTACAACACATACATATGTATCCGCAGTTAGTTAAAAATATGAATGTATGTACGTACTTACATATACATGCATTGTGGATAGTAATATAAAAAGTCATGGTCAGATTTATACATGCAGAATAAATTACGTACTTCCTCAATTTTATAGGAAAACCTACTTTTTTGCAGAATAATTACACATTTAATATTACTCGTTAATCCTCTATTGAAGTGTCCAAATCCATCTGGTTGGCTGTTTAATCATAATCCATAATTAGTTTAAATTTCTACTCAAATCATCATTTATTATAAAACACCAGTTAATTTAGTAGATCAAATTTTGTCCGCATTTTCCACACGACAATGCCCAATTGGTCGACAAAAGACATTCCAAACTTGACTGGAAAGGTTGCCATGGTTACCGGAGGAACACGTGGGATCGGTCTGTACACAGCGATCGGATTGGCCTCGGCCGGAGCGGAGGTGACAATTCTTGGAAGCAATCTTGAACACGGGGAAAATGCTGTGACATTTCTTAAGGAAAAAGTTCCTTGCGCAAAAATTACTTATTCGCAAGTCGATTTCGCAAGTCTGAAGGAAATTGCGGATTTTGCAAAGTAAATAAATAAACAACACTGTTAAAAATTATGTTACTGTTTTTGAAAAGTATGCACATAAATGTACACTCTTAGAAATGGGGTTACGATTATAACCAAAAATAAACGTATGTGACTCTATCGCTGTGGTTGTAAATTTGTCATCGAGTGGTTACAATTTTCAACGATTAATTATAAAGTTTCACCGACTTGGTCTTAAATTGTCACCAGAGCTAATAAATTTATGACCTGCTTGTGACAAATTCATAACCACGGGGGTAGAGTCACATAGGTATGTACGTTTACTTTTTGGTTATAATCGTAACCTCATTTCTAAGAGTGTACTCTGAATTCTGAATCGAGGAAACTCTTAGAAATCCAGAGTACCTTAAATTTTATCAAGTGTACGAATTAGTGTAATTTACTTAATTTAGAATTCAGAGTGCATTTTAAATACGCAAGTAAAATATAAATAAACCGTTACAACGCATGTAACCAAGGGGTGAAAGATGGGTTTCATACGCTTAAATGAATATCATATTATTTTTGCCCGTCCATGTTCAAAATCTGTTAAATTGATACACATGTAACGTATTTTCGACATTTGAAAAATGTCAAATTTACCAGACTTTTGGGTGCGTTTTCTCCTCTTTTTATACAAATATCTCCGCTAAACTTGAGCATTGGCAGATAGTGTTATTTGAAAATTTCATACTAGTCATATTTGTGATCGATTGGCGCTAATTTGATCAAAATATTTGACCATAAGTTGGTAGACTTACATTGTAAGTAAAAGTATTCCGAACGCAACCTTCTGTCCCTTTATTAAAGTTAAATACTTACAATTTCTCGTTTTAGCAAAAGTGAATCGGCCCGAGTTGTAAATGTCTCGAGTTACTTCGCATATTACGCAAATATCCATTTTGACGACATTGAGTACGAGAAAGCCACGTGGTTTCTGCCCCATCAGGTTTATTCTCAATCGAAACTGGCCAATCTTGCCTTTACTGCGGAATTGCAGAAGAGAAGTGACATGAAGGTTGCCGTGGTTACCGGAGGAACACGTGGGATCGGTCTACACACAGCGATCGGATTGGCCTCGGCCGGAGCGGAGGTGACAATTCTTGGAAGCAATTTTGAACATGGGGAAAATGCCGAGATATTTATAAAAGACAAACTTCCAAGTGCAAAAATTACTTATACGCAAGTCGATTTTGCAAGTCTCAAGGAAATTGCGGATTTTGCAAAGTAATTCCCAACACTCTTAAAATTAAGTTTTGCATTGATGAAAAGTATGTACATAAATGTATCCTGAATTTTTAATCAAGGAAACTCTAATTAACCAAGAGTACCTTGAATTTGATCAAGTGAACGGAAATTAGTGCAATTTACTTAATTTAGAGCTCAGACTGCATTTACTATTCAGAGGGCAGATAACAATTTGAGATTTCGCTGTGAATTCCCTATCGAATTCGCAGCGAAATGTCGGCCGATTCGCTAGGGAATTCGTGGAGAAATCATGGAGTCGCTGCGAGTTCGCTTCGAATTCGCCAGCGAATCGGCGGACATTTCGCTACGAATTCGATAGGGAATTCACAGCGAAATCTCAAATTGTTATCTGGGAATGGTGACCAGGGTTCGGAAAACCCAGGGCAGTGGCGGAACTATAGATCGGGGGCCGGTACGTGACCAAGATTTGGGGGCCTATCTAAATTTGCTTTTACCAATAAATAAATATGTGCCTGTAATTTTTTAATTATTTAGTTATCAAAATATGAATGAAAATAGGAAATGACTTATTTCAAATAGCAAATTACGTATTTATATAGTTTTGGGGTATTCCGATTTTAGCAATTTCTAGACAAGCCGGCTTTCAATAGTTTTTGAAAGTTTTGTAAGACCGGGTTTTGATCAATCAGACTTTGGAAAACTGTAGTAAATCGGTTTTTAATTTGAAACCTGTGTATTGTAGCGAGAATTTAAAAAAGTTTAAAAATAAATATAGACAACTAAATTTTAAAACAAATTAAAATTAAATATAAACTTGATAACAACGTATTTCAGAACTACTATTTCTTATTTTTTTAAAGTTATATTTGCTCTGTCCAAGTTTGTGGTGTTTACAAATTTAACCCCCGATTCTTGAGTGTGTAAAACCGGGTTTAAACAGAACAAAATTTGGGAAAAACTTAACACCATTTGCTTTGCAAACACGGATTTCGAGTGTGTTTAACTGTTCTGAACATAAATTAGGTTTTTGTTTAAACTAATATCCAGCGCTAAATCGGACTTCCGATTTCCACCCGAATCCACAGAATTTTTCAAATTTTGTTGAAATTCCAAATAATTTCTACGATTTAAAAATTTTGGGTTAAATTTAACGCCTCACGTATGTACTTAGCTGAAATTTGCCATAAGCCCCACCACCTCAACATTCCACTATTTGTGATTTCACGGTCATTTAATTAGGTTGTGGTTGACACTTATTCGGTAAGGCCCCACTTAAACGTTATGCAAAAAAAAATCATGATAAAAAATCGTTATTCCCATGCCAAATTTCAAAAATAATTCATGATTTCTTCAAACAAATCTTCAAACAATGAATTGTTTAAAAAAATTAGAGAATCTCAAAGCAATGATTACATAACTTAAAAAATTTCTACACATTACATAGTTTTCACAATTTCTAAAATTTGACAAATTAAAATAATTTTTACAGTTTAAACCATTTGTACAAATTAAAGATATTTCAATAATTCCAGACATTTGTACAAACTAAAACTTGGGGGCGCAAAGTTTAACAGATTTATCGAATAAAGCTTGTTAATTATTACCAGTTAAACTGGTTACAACATTATTTACCGAAGTCGAGGGGCCGGGGGCCGTTACCAAGCGGGGGCCGATACGTGGGACGTACCCTGCGTACCCATATTTCCGCCAGTGACCCAGGGGTTATTGTAGATAAACCCAACCCCGGGGGTTTTTCCGGGGTTTTTGGGGTTTTTGTGGGTTTTGTGGGTTTTTGTGAGTTTTTGTAGATTTTGGGGCAAATTGAACCAGAATTCCTAAAATTATATATTAGAGAAAAACTATCTTAATATGCGAATTCAACATGAAATTTTAACCGTTATCATTGAATTGGCCTGTTACAGCGCAAATTCATGTTTAACATGAAAACCAGGAAATATGCAATGATATTTGGAAATTCAAGTCGCACATGAAAATTCTCAACATTTCATGATGAATCAGAAAATTTAATTAGCATTAATCTAAGTTGTAGTCTAAACGATTTTTTTTCAATCTTCCTCAAAATCCTACAAAAACCCCGGAAAAACCCACAAAAACTCACAAAAACCCCAAAAACCCTAACCCACAAAAACCCGGGGTAGCGAACCCTGATGGTGACCTTATTTTTAAGAGGAGTGTGTCTTAAAGTTGTATACATTCATGCGTATGTAATCGTTTCTCTTATCCCTAGGACGTTCAATGAGATGGGTGTTGCATTGGATATTTTGGTGAATAATGCCGGAGTTTTCCCGCGCAAACCGTTACGGAAGACTTTCGATGGTGTCGAATCAACTTTTGGGATCAATCATTTAGCCTCTTTCGCTTTGACGGCACAATTACTTCCATCACTACGGTAATAGTTTCTTCATGACACTCTAAACAATTTGGAAACAAAACGTGCCTTTTTTGGGTAATGATTACAACGGAAATGTTTTGTCATCGGCGGGATATAGGGTATTGATTAGATTCGTCCCGCTGTTGTTTTTTAGGCTCAAACCGTTCTTAGGAATACTTTCTAAAAAAAAGTAAAATTTTCTTTGAAATTTTGTCACACGTAGAATCAAGATAAGCCATAATCATACCATTTAATTATTTGGGACGGGATAAGTTTCTTATCATAGGTTAGAAGACGGGCGTTGTATGTAAACAGGTCATAGCGCCCCGATGATGAGATAAACGATCAAAGATGTCGAATTTTTTTTACTGTTTTAGACTTGTTTTTGCGCAGGGATTTCAGAAGTTGACATAGTTTTGACATGCCATAACCACGTGATCTTGTCGCTTAACCCGTTTGCCACATACATTTCGCTTGTAACGGTTTATTAAATTTAAATCCTGCTTCTCGTTTCAGCAAAAGTCCATCACCTCGAGTTGTCAATGTCTCGAATTTCTTCGCATATTACGCAAATATCCACTTTGATGACATTGAGTACGAGAAAGCCACGTGGTTTCTGCCCCATCAGGTTTATTCTCAATCCAAACTGGCCAATCTTGCCTTTACTGCGGAATTACAGAAGAGAATTGACATCAACGGGTGGGGTTTGACAGGTAAATAGTATGCTAAACTTTCTATTTAGTGTTTGCCAATCCAGTGTATTTGCCTCAACTGGCATGAGGATAATCTACATAAATGTGACGAATACATGTAGGATTTAGCCCCCTTTTATGTATCGCTATTTTTGCTCCTGTGTGCAACCGGATTTGGTGCCCACGCTCTAAGCTCGGGTTTATCACAAAATTCGACATTTTCAATATTGACATTGTGAATGTAACCTAAATCCCGCATGCCTGGCCATTCAGGCGGGTATCCTACGTTCAAGTCTCATGCTAATACCGGTTTATAATTTTCAAAAAAGTATTTTTGTAAAAAAACGGTTTTTACACATTCAAAAATCGGTTTTCTATGTTGAATACATAATCCAAAAACTGGATTTTGAATCTCTTCCGATTTGGCAGGCCCGAACCGAGAAGCTAAATAAACATTTTTTGATTACAGCCGTCTCCATCATGCCCGGCCTGGTTCGGACGAGCTTGGTCGAAACGGTGTTTGATCGCTACCCTATTTTCGGCCGTCTCATCAACCAGGCAATCCTTCCCTTGATTTCGAACAGTGCGGAAAAGGGTGCCAAATATTCGCTATTCGGAGCCACATCTCCCGCCGTCTCGCCCGGCGGATTGTATGGTCCACCGGGTTCATACGTCGCTATCCGGGGCCCGGTCAGGCAAATTACAAAACTTTTAACTTCATTTGACCGAGAATGCATTTAATCATGGCAAAATGTGATTTTATAATACTAAAAAACTAGCGCGGAACAAGATTTTCCCGGGTCTCTGATTATAGTCGGGTCTGCGACACCCAGTTTTGGATTTTAGCCCCGGCTTTAAATAGAGTATTTAAGGTAATCATATATGTAAAGGGTGTTGATTTAATTCGCCACAAAGATGGTTTTTTGGGTTCAGGCCAAACATATGTACATATTTAAGCATAACTTTCAAATTTTACCATGCGTACGTACAGTGAAGATAAGTGCTAATTATCACAATATTTACCAGACGAATACAGGTTTTCCCCGGTTTTGAGTTACAAGTTTTCAAATATTTAGAAAAAATCGGGACGAATTAAAACAAAACCCTTTTTGTGTCTGTTCACATTCATTTATTGAATAAATCGGTACTAATAATCTAACACTATTAAAAATTTATTAAGGTAATTATAAGGTGATAATAATTTTCTCCGAGAGAACGTTGTGTTGCACAACAAGCGCCCGAATATGTGCGCCCCGACCCATAGAACAGAAGTATTTAAGCGTTCAACATTGTTTAGAAGATACTGTTTATGGAATACTTTACCTAAAGACTGGGAATTATGCAACATGTCCTACGGACTGTTTCAATCAAATGCACGTGAGTTGTAACTGGTCAAATGAATCAGAATGGACCAGATGTTAGCAATTTATAATTATAATATTGATGACAACATACTTATATATAATCGTATAGTTATATTGTAGATTAGTACAAATTTTTATTATTGTGTCTTGATCTGAAAAGTAGTGTATAACTGATGATTCGCGACACTTGAATAAACTACAGTAAACAGTAAACAGTAAACGGTATATTTATTGAGCAAATTTTTGTGCACTTCCTCTTCATGAAGCATTAACTAATGTATAAATACATAATTCATGCAGGTTCTGGTAACATTGGAAACTCTACAAATTTTATAAACTTTTCGACTTTTACAAAAATTTACGTTTGTGCCGAAAATTAGCTTACACATTTTAAAAAACTTATTCAGATCAAGACTTTTCACACATGTAAATACATATATACAATAAATTGAATTTGAATAACTTCAATTATTTTTACAATTTACTCAAATTGTTATGCTCAAAATGTCATAATTTTTTTTATTGACCATGTTATAGATCAAATGGCGCAGTAATCCCATAAGAATGGGGTAAAACGTTTTGTGATTTTGCAATTCTGGGACGACGTCGGACGTAAGGCGTCGGCCTGACGTGTGACGTAAATCGTCAGGCTGGTGCCTTTTGCCAAATATCACGTCTCCTCATAAATAAATGCATAACCTCCACATTCCGAAAGCATGTCCATTGTTGTTGACTTGTATGACGAGTTAATCCACAAGCTCATAATCCACTTGGCAACTGAAAGTCAATATTCGGACGCCAGTGAGTTCGGCGAGAACCCTTTTGGGAAAAAACATCGCAATAAGTAAATCACATCTGACGAAAATACAATTTCATTCATTCTACACCATTTTGATACAAGGTTTTTGAAGTATTTATGTATGTACCATTTGGCTATTTTCGCCAAAAAGTATAATAATTTTCCCGTCTTTTACTTTCACGATATTTTTTGTATCACTTTGACAGAAATTAATTTTCGCCAGTACGACTTTCGCCAAACTGATCGTCCATACAATAATCGAAGGTTTAAGTTATGTACAGGGTGGTTTAAATATTTCCCTACAATGGAACGTTTCGCGAGAAACGAGAAAAGCCCATAAATATCCACAAGTTACATCAGTGAACCTGTACATACGTTTTTGGGATTAGGATTTTGATTAATTTGTATCAAAACTGATCCAACAATTAGTGTCAAAATTCTTTAGATATTGAATTTCCGAGACAAAATTTCGATAACTAATGGAAATTTACGAATTTTTTCAAGTGAAAAATTCCCCATGGCAGCGTGACATGTACAGACATACCTACAAAAATCACCTTGTACACAGTTTTCAATTCAAAGGCAATTGAAACCTATCAAAATATGGAAAACCATACGAAACGTTTTTTTATCATCGATCCCGTTAAGTTCACATCTATCATTTTGGATTATGTATCACGTCCCTGTGTCTAGGGCTTCCCACAAGACGGGACAGTCTTGTCTTGTCTTGACAAGACGGGATAACAAGACGGGACAAGACGGAAATTTGCGTCCCGCGTTTTGGCAAGCAAGACGGGACACGGGACTGGACAAACAACGTCTTGTCCCGTCTTGTCTCAGCAAGACGGGACGTCTTGCGACAATTTAAATATGATACTTTCGTCTCGGAATTCATTAATATTGAATTTAAAACTTAGCACAACGGTGGTACTTATTCAGTAAAATATAACTTGAGTGAAATTGTAATTCCCTTAAGTTGGAAATTCGATCGAAACGAATCATCGAATATTTTTCGGATAGCTTTATCTAATCCGTCATCATGAAGTAGAATTTAAAAGTTAGAATTTGCTTACAATACGAACATGAAGTCAAGTCTTGAGAACATAAATTTCCAAACGAGCAGTTTCCGATCAAACCAAAACAGGTTTTCCGTTTTAGGGATGGCAAAGATATTTTCCCCGGTGTAATGTGATTTTTACTAGTTGAAACCTTGGTTAAATTATTCTTTAATTAGTAAAAACAATTTATATCATGCATCTTGAAGCGAACTTAACTTTTGTGAATTAATAGATTTAAAATTCAACCCATTTAAAACATGTCCGTCCCGTGTTGTCCCGTCTTGCACGGGACGGGCAAGACGGGACGCAAGACAAGACGGGACAGCTTGTCGTCCCGTCTTGTCTTGATATTTCGTCCCGCAGACTGGAACAAGACGAGACAAGACGTATAATCTTGTCTTGTCCCGTCTTGTGGGAAGCCCTACCTGTGTCTGTCAAGTGGCTCAGTCTCATCTCGCGTAACGTACACATGAATCCGGCACATTTACAAGGGTTTAGATGTATCTTCACGGGAATAATTCCATATAAAAGACGAATCTTTTCAGAGATGGTTCACACTTGACGAGCAGCCTCTGTTGAGAAATTTTTAGCAGACTAAATATCTAGGTGATCTTACACTAAATAATTTGTTAGACAAATTCTCACCCTTGCGTAGGTAATATATTACTACACGTATTTCTGATAATAATTAACGAGTGGTTAAGAGGCTTTGTCACCAAGGGGAAATAAGTTAAAAATTCGTGTACCAATCAGACCCGATGTCTTTATTGTCAAAAATTCAACATTTTTTAAAAATATTATTAGAATTTTTATTACGTGAAAGTATTATTTTTTTAAATAAAGATGTCACGTGTGATTGGTATACGAGTTTTTGACCTATGTTCCCTTAGTGCTACATAAATAAAACGTCTCGTTAATTAATTATCTATCCTAAAATTGAGTTAAAAAATTAGCATCATGTACAAACCCAAGACGCACTATGTACATATTTATATATTTAAATATATTGCAGATATGAAGACCATAATTTTCATCACGGTCCTCGTTTTGGCCCTCATGTGCATCCTGGAAGCGGACATGGTAAAAACTAATAAAATAAAATATGAAATTAATAAACATTACATAGAACTTATTATATTAAGACAATTCACGCCGCACATGGTAATAACTGTGGTGTAAGGTATGTCATAGAGTATAGTTAAGTCTCATATTTCTGTATCTCTGACTTTGCTCGTCTCACTTGCCCAGTCAGTCACCAACTGCTACTTGGAGAATAAAGACATGTAAATAGTTACTCTCCAGTGCCTGCTCTCTGACTGATTTCGACATCGGTGTTAATGGCGTGTCGATGGCCAACGCTACCTGATTGCATCTCACGCGCATTACACTACAATAACTTCGAAAAATCCGTAAATTCTTTAACCACCTAAAATAAATACAAGTTTATTTCGAGGGAAAATTAGCTTACAAATTCTTTTAACCCATATTTTCTAAGTTTTTTTATTTTGTAAAATTCAACAACAAAAACTTGCAAGATTTTAAAAATACTTGCAAGGAAAATTGGTTCACATATTTAATAAAATTATATGTACATAAAGTCCATTTACGGGAGAGTCCCCATATTTTATAAACGTTTGTAAAGTCATTTTACAAAAGCGCACAGATCAAGTGGTGGTATGATACAAATTACTTTGTGAATTGCTTCTCTAAAAATATAGGTTTTTTTTATTTGAAATTTTTGTTATTATTTTAGGTTGAAGGGAAATGTAAAGGGATTAAAAGGGCGCTGTGTCATGCGCACTGCGCATTGAAAGGTTTCGCCTGCATCTGGCCGGATGGCGTATGTCAGTGCCAGACCTTCTAAGAGGACTTCAGCAAAATAATTAATTTGCTCTTCTTATCAAAATTTATTCAAATTTTTATTAACTTTTTTCTTAAGTATATATGTAATTTGAAATAAAATTCTGAGAAGTAAATGTGCTCATTTAAATATATGCAGCTTATCGATAGTATTTAAAACTTTATTGAATTTATAAACTATGCATGCATATAAATATGTACATAATCGAATTAAAAATTAATCCCACGAATCTAACTGAGCACAAAATTGCACAATCTTTTAAGCTAAATTTCCTATCCATCAGAAATAAATATTGGGCATATTGGGATTTATGCAAATGAGGTGACACGCCTTATTAAGAGTACTTATACCATTTTTTAATGTCAATTCACCATACATAGTTTTGTTTTTCCCTCTTCCTGAACTCCATGCCCTCTGTATTCACCTCGAGAAGAATTCTGGTATTTCTATTATTGTTTTCTAACATATTTAAATATTTAATTATGCACCCATAAATCCCACTGAATTTTAAAACATTGATCTTACGAACATATTATGTTTTATTGTGAGAAAAAATGATGCCTCTAGAAGTTTTTTTACAGCTTGTACAAATTATCTGCTTCCAGGCTGTTGAACGTAGGTATCCGACACGTGCATTTATTAAATCTCCAAGATTAAATCTAACTACGCCAGGATGTACATATTTAATAAGTTGTAAAACAACAAGTTGGTCCCACTCCATGTAATTATTTGGGCGCACTCAACATGAAAATATTCCCAGCACTGAAAACTATGCAGGGAAACAAGCCAATTCCTTATTGATAAAGAAAGTAGTGCAAAAAATATATGTAATTTGTCTGGGATCAGTTTACATTCACACTTTGACCAATTTTCATATGCATAAAAGTCGATCCTCAAATTTTGAAAATTTACAAAAGCTGAAAATGAACAAGTCGACAGAATCCTTTAAGGAAGCAATCCTGCGACTATTTCCTCCTCCAGGGTCCTACACGACAGAAGAGGAGCAAGCAATTCAGAAATTTTACGATCTGGTTGACGGTAAAATTTTCAAATATTCTAAATTAATAAGCCACAATTAATGTATTGTAACATTAAATATAAAATCCGTCCTAAACTTTTACAAATATTTCTAGACATAAAGTCATTTTCATTGTTTGTTTGTCTTGTACAAATTTTTTTTCGGATTTTGAGTGCGTGAATTTTCTCTATTTATCTATTGTTCACCTCATGGTAATTGTAGGGGACGAAATTTTGCAGGATTGGAAAAAGTATGCGCTCGAGCCAATCATCATATTTTGTCTGCGCATTTGCCAACTCGAATCTCGGCCAATGTTTGAAGTTGTAAGTATCTACACAATTAATTATTTATACATTGCGCCAGTGCCCGCGGACAGAGGGTCAATGTCCCCACGGTTATTCGATATCCCTATCATCTATGTATCCATATTATACAAGCCGTTCCCTCCCCCATCCTACAGTTTTAATGTCCCCCAATGTCCTCAAAGCTTCCGTGGCCACTGAATTGCACGGCGTATGAGTCAAATATGAAAAAATGAGTGGTAAACATTTTACAAAATTATTCACTAGGCTCGTGCCCTCTTTCAAGTCACCATGGTAACCTTTCCCGACCTGGTGTCGCGTCTCAATGCCAAGAATTTTCCGAACGTAGCGACCTCTGAGATGTTTCAAATTTTGAAAAGAAACCGTGACGACGTAGGACCCTCCGTGGTTGTAATCCGAATAAGTAAGCAACCGCAATCGGTGATGCACTAAAATGACGTCAAGATGAACACATTTTTAATAATTTCACCACTCTGGGAATTTATTTTGAAAGTTTGCACGAAAAATGTGTTGATGCTGGAGTTGCTGATGTAAAAAAAATTGCACTCAAGATTTTGACCATTTCCGAACGAGCAGATCTCAAGATATAGAAGTTTTTTAAAAAAATGCACCTGATTTAAAAACCTCATCGCAATTCTATGAAAAATACTCATCAAGTTATTGGCTAGAAATTTGTGGTCTATAAAAAAATTCCAGTGCCGAGAAACAATTAAAAATTTGTAAATTTTCACGTTTTTTTTTAAATGAGTGATCGAATCCTACCTTGAAAAGTACAAAATTCAAACTGAACTTACAATTTTTAGGCAAATGGGATCCCTCCAAAGCAATTTTGGATGACGTTCTAACCTTCAACTTCTTACTTTACATATTCGCCGCAAAATCTTCCCCGGAAATGCAGCGTGCCGGAATTTTAGTGATCGTAGACATGCGAGGATTACGACTGGAACACGTGCGTCACGTGACGACGGTTGATCTCGTTAAAAAATCGGCCATAATTTCGTTAAAAGTGCCAACCAAGTTGTCCAAAAAAGTGGTCAAGGGGTGCATCCTCGTCCACAGCAATGCCATCGTCGTCCGGACTTTCCACGCTTTCAAATGGCTCATTCCGAAAAAGATGGAGAAAAAAGTAGTTATTTTTTTATTTTTTCAAGTTTTCACAAATTATTTTACAAATTATGAATGAATTTCAAAAATTTACACTTCAAATAACACAAATCGTCTCCATCGGAAGTACTGGAGGTACTGCTCTACTTTTTGGTGATTAACTAGATGCTTTACCACGAAGGGAAAATGAGTAAAAAAACTCACGTTATTTGGAAAAATTATAAATTTGTATTGTCGCAACATAAGAATTTTTATAAGACCATTTGTCTCCAAATTATCTATAATTTCTGAAAGTTTCTTTGTACGGTTATATTTTATTTGGCCCTTTTCAGATCGAACTGACCCAATCGGACATGTCGTACATAACAAATTTGAAAGATCCGAGCACACTTCCGGTCGAATTTGGGGGTACCATTGATGACAAGGAGGCCTATTATGAAGGGCTCGCCGACGACATGATGTCCGACAAGAGACTAATTCCTGCTCTGGACCGACTTAAAAATGAGATTCTTCGGAGGAATGGATATTCCAAAATCTGTTAATTTTTGTCGCCAAGCTTCGCTTGAGAGACAAACATTTATTTCTAGGCGAAGTATTCGATCCTTTTTATGATAATCGTAAATTTCAAGAACAAATATCATTTTTACTAATTCTGAATTACATATATGCAATATTTGATGGTAGACATATGTATGTATGCAGCAGACAAACATAAATTGAATACTACAGTATTTTCTGTTGTGTTTTGCCATGCTTAGTTTGTAATCTTTTCATCAAACACTGATATCAAAATTTTGATTAAATCCCGGAAATAAATAATTTGGCCGCAGCTACTTAAATTTTTTAGGTGAAGGACACTATTTAATTCATCCTAAGCCAAATTTATAAATATGCACAGTACATATGTATCTATTTGTATTTAGCCTATGTACAAATGTGCACTGGAAAATTCCCGGCATACTGTAATACCATTAGGTGGTTTATGTAATGTATTTATCACCAGCATGTGATACTTTGCTACCAGGCAGTAATAATTTACCACCATGTCGGTGAAGCGGGACATACATATCTACATATGTACGTGCATATATACTTCTACACGTATTTATTTTTTGTGCAACCTTTTCCAACCGAGTCTCATCATACATTTATGAATATTATGTAGGTATGTGAGAGACTGATTCTCTAATTGAAGAACTATTTATGACCGATATTTCCCACGTAGCTTTTCCATTGGTAGACTTTGCAAACCCGTAATAAAATTTCAACACTTGGGTAAAACTAATGAACGGATGGGAATATTAAACTTGAGATTGATGAAGAACAAATTGCTTCCCCAGTTTCATCGGGAAAACCACTTTCTTCGCAGACTCGCTTATTAAACTTTTTACTAAAGGGTGTTAATAAAGTCCGATCCCATGCATTTTTTGGAGCGTGGTTGTTACAAATTCAGCTGGAACTTTTGAACCAGTGAAGTTATTTATTTCAAATTTTTACCATGGGAGGAACAACTAAACGTGTAAGTCATGAGCATCTTAGAGTTGAGATACAAACATTGCATCAGCAGGGGCTTAAACCTACAGAAATTGTGCAAAAATTGGGCTGCAGCCGCAGAACTGTTTGGAAATGGAAGAATAAAAATTTTGTCCACGACAAAAAGCGACCAGGGCGACCCAGAAAGGTGTCACCTACCACAAAAAGAATGATTAAAAACAGACTTTGCAAGAAAACCGGTAGTTCATTACGTAATTGAGCAAGGGAGTTAAATGACTCAAAACGCTATAAAGAGAAGAAGAAGCAAATTAACTGTGTGACCGTGCAAAAATTTGTGAAAACTACGAAGTGGGGTCACACAGCTTACAAACTAACCAAAAAAACCTCTCATGTCACAAAAATATATCGATGACCGTCTGAAATTTGAAGAACTCCTTCAGAAAAGTGCCCATTTGAGTGAAAAAAGACTTGGTGAAGAATTGCGCAGTCACATCCTTTGGACTGACGAATCTATTATTGAACTATATCCAAAATTGAACCAACAAAATGTTCGTTACAGGACAGAAAACAAATCGGATGTACCATCAAGAGCGATCCCAAAATTCGGGCTTAAAGTTATGGTAGCGGGTGGATTTTGTGCACGTTGCGTGACCCCTCTACATATCATACCAAAAGGCCAATCAGTCAATGCAAAGCATTATATGGAAAAAATATTACCTATCTATTTCGATAGCATGGGGAACAAGGAAATATTTCCGAATGAAAGAAAAATAGTTTTCATGCAGGATGGTGCTATAGCCCATACAGCAAAAGCGAGTTTGAGTCTCATCAAGACGCAAGTTTCAACGGTCTGGAGCAAGGGGGTGTGGGCCGCTAACGGCCCAGATTTGAATCCCCTGAAGAACCAGTGGTCCATACTTAAGGAAAATGTATACAAAGAGCCACAACCCCGGACGAGGGAAGAGCTAGTAAAAAAAAGTTCAAGATGTATGGAATTCGATTTCCAGAGGCACATTGGAAAAATTAGCACAGAGCCTTAAACAAAGAGTTGAGGGCATGGTTAAAGTAAATGGTAACAAGACCAAATACTAAGGTAAATATGTCGAACATTTTTTGTAAGTATCACGGGTAGTTTTTTTTTATACTAGCCTTCACTTTTTTACAGGAAAAATGGGATCGGACTTTATTAACACCCTGTAGATTTCATAATTCTCACGTATTTATCCTCGAGCAAAAAAAATATGCAGATGTGTAAATCCAAATTTTCTGTTTATTCAAACATAGATACTCCTCCGTTTAAAGTTCTACTCAAATTAGTTGTAAAACACTTGTTCTAGGAAACCCCTGTTGCTAAATATTTTCGCACTTTTGCTAACAAGAAAATGTCCAGCTGGACGACCAAAGACATTCCAAACTTAACCGGAAAGGTTGCCATGGCTGCCGGAGGAACACGTGGGATCTGTCTCCACACAGCGATCGGATTGGCCTCGGCCGGAGCGGAGGTCACAATTCTTGGAAGCAATTTTGAACATGGGGAAAACGCTATAAAATTTATAAAGGAAAAAGTTCCACATGCAAAACTAACTTATACTCAAGTCGATTTTGCTAGTCTGAAAGAAATTGCGGATTTTGCAAAGTATGTATGTAATCAAATTCTTAGCCCCCACCATGTTAAGGTCACACCCTAAAAAATAATGTTCCTTCTAGAAAGGTAAATGCAGTCTGAATTTCACATATGCTAAGTAAACTTTCCTAAATCAGGGGTAAGATTTATTCCCATTCCCAAGTTAGCATTGGATACTTAAGATTTACCAAAGTTTACTTAATTTAGAGTAATTTAGTTTTCTTAGGGCTAACATTATTTTTTAGAGTGTACGAATGTATATAAATGCTGAATGGTCTCTTTCTTATCCCCAGGAATTTCAATAAGAACCACGTTGGACTTGATATTTTGGTGAATAATGCAGGAATTTACACACACAACCCTTTGCGAAAAACATGTGACGGCTTCGAATCCACTTTTGCGGTCAATCATTTAGCTCCGTTCGCCTTAACGGCGCAACTACTTCCATCACTTCGGTAATACATTTGCAAAATGTTCTAAAATTTCTTTAATCTATGACTCAAATTTCGCGACCTAGAAAGAGCGCGTCGCCCAGGGTTGTCAATGTATCGAGTTTGTCCGCCTATTATGCGAGGATCTGGTTTGACGACATTCAATTCAAGAAATCCACGTGGTATCTTCCCACTCAGGTTTATGCTCAATCGAAGTTGGCCAATCTTTCTTTTACTGCGGAGTTACAGAAGCGGAGTGACTTCAATGGGTGGGGTTTGACGGGTAAACTTGCCTCAATGTTTCTTAAAATTCTTAAAAATAATGTTACCCTTTGAAAAAGCAACTACACACTGAATTCTAACTTACCGTAAATACTCTATTTATAGCCGGGGCTAAAATCCAAAACTTAGGGTAACGGATCCGGCTACAATTAGAGACCCGGCTAAAGTTTGTTCCGCCCAAAATTTTAGATGTTACAAAATCATGCTGACTCAATTACAGTTTTCTTATTTAGCAAGATACATATGCCATCAGTAACCCATTCACTTTAAATCTACATCTTTAAGCGAAATTTTGCAATTTTCTTTAAATTTTCTATCATGATTATATCCATTATTGACTTTAAATGCTAAATTAATAGGTAAAAAGTAGTATGAATTTTCCCCTTATTGAAAGTGTCAAGGTTCCCACTATTGGTTCAACCTGTTAAAAGTTAATTTTGCATATGTAAAAATCCTAAAAATTAGCACATTGGATAAGGTTTGTAAAACCGAAAACAGAATTTGATTATCTGTTTTCGATAAAAAATGGCAGCACAAAATGTTGAGGAGGTGGAAAAATTAGTTTGCCACTCGTGCCAAAAAGTGCTTTATAACTAAGTGCTATGTAACTAAGTTTTCGCTGGATTTAGTATAGCTTATATACGCAACTAATTTACAGGGTGACATTATTTTTAAGAGTGTATACTAGATACAAATTTCCAATTTGCAGCCGTGTCTGTCATGCCCGGGCTGGTTCGGACCACCTTACTCGAAATTGAAGTTGATCGATACCATATTTTTGGTCGTTTCTTCAAACTGGCCGTGCTTCCCTGGATTTCGAACAGTGTGGAAGAAGGTGCGCAGTACTCGCTCTTTGCGGCGACATTTCAGAACGTCTCGCCAGGCGCGTTGTATGGTCCGCCTGGATCGTATTTTGCGTACTGTGGCCCAATTAGAAAAATTTGGATTCCCTGCGAGGCCACAGACCCGGAAATTGGGGAAAGCTTATGGCTCCTTTCTGAGCGGATGACACAAGTGAAATGGCCACGAGGATAAAAATATTTAATAAAAATCCATCTCATGTGCTACACAAATCATTTCTTTCTTATCTACCTACCTGTTCACATTCATTTATTCAATAGAGCATAAATTCAATTGAAAAGTTATATAAGTTGGTAAAATGAATAGTAAGGAAGGAAGATTTTTGTTTTCAAATTTTTAAAATGCATCAAGAGATATTTTTTGAACAAGTTTGGTTAGCTTAGTTTAACATTGATTTAGTCCTAATTTATACATAGTCATCCCAAAGTTACATATACATAGCTCGTACACTCTTATTTAGAAATCAAGTATTAAAGTAATTCCAAGCGATATTCATATATGACTCTACCAAAACGGTATTGATAAACAATATCGCGTAGTAATAACCCGGTATTAATGTTTTGCAATATCGTTAGCAAATTTTTACGGACCTGTATAATTTTAATACCAAGTGATATCAACTTTAGTACCGAGAAATCAATAACTGCGTGACTATACCAAATTTCTAACAGGTTAAGAATTATTTTCCATTCTCAATCTCCAATTTAATCTGTCTGGATGGATCTAAAATATTTGTAATTGTAAAGATGTCGTTTATCCAAGTAAATTTTGCCAATTAAAAAATACTAAATAATTTTTATTCTCAGACTCGTACACTCATTTACATACATAAATGTTAAATGTTATCAATATTTCGCAATCTTTCAAACTCATGTTTCATTTCGTGTCTGACATGGTTCAATAGTTGGGACACGTCCTCCAAATTGTACTGACTCGTGTCAACCGGCGGTAAAATGGTGACATGGACCGTTCCTGATAAACAATAGGGGATGTTATGGTTTGTATTTTAAAATTGGACCCTTCTTTGTATGCATTTCTTATGAAGGAAGGGTCTAATTATAAAATACAAACGTTAGTCTTCGCTAGAATTGTAACGATATTGGCAATTCACGCAGTGCTTGGTAAAATTGTAAAATCCGCAAATTTGAGTACAAACGTTGCCAAATTTTTAAAAACGTATATTTCGAAGAAGGTAAAGTAGCGTACAAAATTTTTGTAAACGTATTCCGGCGGAATAGCGGATTTTGTTGATTTTGTATAAATTAGTAAAATTAATTTACAAAATTTAAGATTGCCAAGAATTACTTGAATGCCCTCATTATTTTGCAAAAACTATTATGTCACAATTTAAGCAGGATTTGGGAACCTTGTTAAATTCGTAAATTCCGGAAACTGCCAAGCTTTTACAGAATTTTTGAATATGTCTAAGGAAAATTACTCTAATTTTTTGCAGAGTTATGTACTCTGATTGAGGGCGCATCTTTCCTTTGTAAACTTTATAAGATTATTTTACAAATTGCACGAATTTTACGAAATTACCCATGCCCGCGTGAATTGCCTAATTTCACATGTACTTACCTGTCCCAAATTGGTAAGGATTATTGCTAAGAAATCGGTACGGTCCGATCACTATTGGAAGAATGGGGATCTGATTTTTCAGGGCAATGTGGAACGCGCCTTTTTTAAATGGGAGAAAATCCGCCCCCGAATTCCTTGACCCTTCCGGATAAATGATCACCTTTTTCCCGTCTGCCATCATGTCTTTGCTTAATCGTTCAATAGTCGCACTTGTAGTTTCGGAATAGTTACGTTCGATAAAGTATGTCCCAACCAGATAGGCGGCCGGACCGAATGGAAATCCCCATAATACAGTGTTTTTTGCAAGTGTAACGCAACGGCCAAATTTTGGCCATAGTTCGCACATACCTGAAATTTTGTCATATCATTATTAACTTGTCACCATTTTTTACGCGACAATTCACTTTGACTTTGGTTAAGGTCATAAATTCTTCAAACTTTTTTAAAAATTTAAAGATAGTGAAAACGAAAATATAGTCATATTTTTTTGTTAGCTTGCTCATGTCAAGCTTTTCATCCTTGTGTAAAAATTTTGTACACTTATTTTTAAAAAAATTATAGGTTTCATAGTTAACAATGACTGCGTGAATTGAGTCAATATTTTGTTTAAGCGAAATTTAGGCTTACACAAGAAATCAAGAAATGTTTGATGATTTGGCGTGATTACGCAGGATTGATGTTTTAAGGCGACGAGATGTTCGTCCCCCTGGATTACAAAGCGCACTCGGAAGATTCGAGAGATCATTTTGACATATGGGATCATGTATCTGTACTTACAGAAATGCATGTTAATGTTGTTAATATTAATTGTAACTTATTATAAATGTAAAGGGTGTCAATTTAATTGGTTCCGATTTTTCCTAAATATTTGAAAATTTATAACTCAATACCGGTGAAAACTTGGGATTCTCTGGTACAAATTATGCTAGGACATATGTATCTTCATTCTACGCATGGTAAAATTTCATAGAAAAATATTGACATGTTTGAAAGTTACGCTTAAATACGATTTGAGTCTAAAACGCTTCATCAAGACCAATTAAATCAACACCCTTTATTAATTAGTAGCTCACAGAATGTTGGTGCATCGGCATGGTCCGCAAATTAAGGAGATGACAATTGAAACAAAGCTTCCACAAATGATCAAGACGGAAAATATGGAAAACTTGAAAATGTACACGGCTTTGGGTATATAACGATTTATGTAAATTATTGCCAGTAACGTACACCCACGTCCAAGAAGTGTAAATAACTCCATTTGCTTAATTGTGTATTGTCTCATAAAATGATGACAACAAAATTGGAGATGATCACTTTCAATATTTATTTATTGTTTTTTTTTGAAATTACGGAAATTGCGAAACGCCTGAGATAATGTACATTCGGTCAATATTGTGGTAATAGCGAGTGCAAAGTGAGCCAACTATGGAAAAAAGACACAAATTATTTCTTGACTAATTATTATTCGATTTTAAATGATACAAGAAACAGCAAAAATATTACATACGTGTTTATTGTAACCCGTTCAGTATCAAGAATTGACGGGTAAAGCTCAGGTTCAGCATACATACATACCTGCGCTATGCGCGAATTTTCTAAATTCCATACATTTTTCCGTATAACACGCAGCGGGTGATTGGCAACTTTTTGTTAAACAAAAATTGGATTAGATCTACACAAGAAGTTCAATCAAACTGAATTTCATGTGTAGTTTCTGGTATCGATTTACATTGCGCTAATGCCACTCATGTTACTTGAGTGTATCGGTAAATAGTGCTCATTTATGAGTTGAGATACAAATTATTACGGGAGAAATTAATTCTCACTATAAAGCAGACGTAAGTACGTAATGTATTTAATTTGTGAGAATTTGATGATGCTCCTCACCAATGTTTCCAGACTACTATGAACAATTAGATACATGTACAAATTTCCATTATAGGTAAGTCCCACCTATTTTACACTAATTTATATACTCGTACTGCAAGGAAATGAAATTACATGGCAGGAACTAACTGTTGTAGTGGTCTTTTTGTCAACTATTCAGCTTAGGAAGGAAACATGGAGACGTTAAGATTTTGTTTCGATTCCCTGTACAAGGTGATAAAAAAACTATTTATAGCTATTATCACAATAACCGTTATTATATTGTATATGCCACTGGTCAGTTTTTTCTACATCGTCCGTCAAACTGTGGCCGTCCTCGGAAGATTTTTTCTCGGGTTAAAAATTGTTCCCTTGTTCGACACGGTGTTGGCATCGGAAGACGTTTATTGTACGAAAGCTCTGACATTATCTGTCACTTTGGTTGTAAACGTTCCAGTCATAGACAAACAAGGAATTGAGCAGATGGTACAAGAAAATCTGCTTGAAAAGCAGGATAATGATGGAAATCTGCAACTTCCTGAGTTAAAGTGTGCACTTCGTTCTTTTATGGGGTACTTGTTTTGGAAACCTGTGGATAATTTTAGCCTAGCGGACCATGTGTTTCTTTATGAAGGTAGGTATTAAAAAGAGATATTTTGTTAAAATCTAGTGGACTTTTCGAAAATTGTTGCAGACACAAGATTGCCCATGCCTGATTGGTCTGACCCGGATGCCTTAAGGAAACTAGCCAGCCAGACGTTAAGATATCGTTGTTGGAAGAAAGGCTCACCGCTATGGGAAATTATTCTCTTAAACAATGTTCCTGTCTCGCACTTGCCAAACAATACAAGCAACGGGTCATTGCTAATTTGGATTAGCACCGCGATTTCATCACGTGCTGATGGACGGTTATGGCACATTCAAGGTTTTAATGCAATTATTTACGACAGAAAGTACGACAGAGTAAAGGAGTCAGTAGTTCCAACGACAGTATCAGCGTGTGATGGCAAAATGACTTGGGCTAAAATACAAGCAATGCTCGGTGCGCCCTTCAGACTCGCTGAGCTATGCTTGCCATTGATTAATTGTCCTTTAAAACTTGCACCGATTTTTGAGGGTAAGTTGTAAAGTTGTGATTTATATTTCAAAATGAGGCACATTTTTAAGTAATTTTTATGATCGGTTAGTATTATAGTAAACAACATTTTATTTATTCACGAAGGTTTATAAACACAAACAACTGAGTATTTGCGAGAGTCTTAATCGTTCTTTATACCTTCAAATACATAGTTTTGATTTTCAAGGTGATGGGAACAAAATTCTTGCCTTCGGAACAACAACATTTCCTCTGACAGAACTAAAAGCTATCAGAATGAAATATGACGTGGATCTTACATCTGTTTTAGTCACCGTCATTTCTGGAGGGATTCGACGATTTCTGACCAAATACGAACAAGAAGGTCCAAATAAATTGAGCATCATGTGTCCTATGCCGATGCCCGGCCATCCGGACAAATTGTCAAACTATGTGTATGAATATGAATCTATAGAATTGTGTTTATAATTTATTGTCCACATTTTAACTTACATAAGTGTTTTTTTAACTTCCTTATAGTGGTGGAGGAATTTTTCCGATTCCGTTCCGTGAGCCGAATAATATCAAGCGGCTGCGGAAGACAGCGACTGTGTGTCAATCCTTTAGGGATCCGAGCATCCTCCCTCAACTCATTTAACTCATTTCATATCATCTCCCTTAACTCATTTTATTGGAAAACTCCCCGGCGTGTTCCCGCAGTTTGCCATTTTAACATACAGAAAATTTTTTTCGCTTCCTCCCCTCTTTGTGACGAATTTGGTTGGTCCAGTGGAAAAATTGCACTTTGATAATATGTCGATTATGGACATTAATGTTGGAATTAACCTGCCTAAAGATGGACCTCGAGGATAGCAAAGCATAAGTTACCGATAATATTTTGTATTGATAATGTAGATGAATAATCGACTTGGCCGATTGTTTATTTCAGGGTTTGGTTTTGGTATTCTGACCTACGAAGAAATTGCTACCCTAGGAGTTTCTGCATTTAACGAATACCTGGAGACAAACCAAATTGCTGATGAAATTCTAAGACATGCAGGGAAGAAATGCTTGAGCTAATACTATAAAATTTAGCCAATGAAGAACTTAAAAGAAATCGAGACCAACTATATTATTAGCTCACCCTGCGTAGCATGAGAGCTATTGAATTCCTCTTGTCCGTCTGTCTGTTAACGAGTTTTTTGCATCAATTGATGTTATTTAAACATCCCCTTGACCATTATTGGATAAGTTCGGCGCACCATTGGTATTGAACAAACCGAATAGAATTTTTTAATAAATTAATAGCACCGTTGTTATCTAACAATCGGTGACACAAAATGATGCGAAATAATTGGGATTACGGATGCAAAACGCACCAATAGTGCAGAATATCCGGGAGAAATGGTCATACAATTTTGACAAAGTTTTCATAATTATGTATCCCGGATGGTCGCTAATGCTGCAGTAATGGTGCAACGGCTAGCCGTTATTGTTGCACCATGGGTCCTAGAATATATACGAGTTATGATCTATTTTGCCGGCTTATTCCGCACCTTCGGTGCAAAGTTTAGTCTAGTCATCATGACAGGGTGAGCTACTTCTAACGTTACTACGGTTTATTAGCTCACCCTGCGTAGCATGAGAGCTATTGAATTCCTCCTGTCCGTCGGTCTGTCTGTCCGTCTGTCCGTCTGTCTGTTAACGACCTTTTTGCATCAATTGATGCTAATTAAAAATCCCCTTGACAATTATTGAATATGTTAGGCGTATTGGTATTGAACAAAGCGAATCGAATTTTTTAGTAAATAAATAGCACAGTTGATATCTAACAATCGGTAACACAGAATGATGCGAAATAATTGGGGGATGAGATGCATAACGCACCAATAATGCATACTACTCGGCGGATTTTATTAGACAATTTTGACATAAATTTTTCAAAATTATCGTTGATCGTTGGTAGGTAATTCTGCACCAGTGATGCACAATTTTTGGACTTTCCTCGATGCATAATAATTATTGATCTATTTTGTTTAATTTTTCTGCACCATTGGTGCAATATTGCATAAATATTATTGATCTACTTTGTTGGATTTTTCTGCACCATTGGTGCATAATTGCCAAAAAATTATGCATCTATTTTGTTGCATTTTTCTGCACCTTTGGGGCAAGTTATAACCAAATCATTATTACAGGGTGAGCTACTTCTAACGTTACTACGGTTTATTTTTTCTACATTCATAATCGTGCGCTTCCCCGCAGGATTCTTACATTATAGTCATTATAGTGTATTCATGCAAAAATTAGAATAGCTTAGAATTCAATTTATTGTGTATTTCTTTTCAAATAAATAACAAAAAGTAATACAACAATTTATTGGCAAAAATTTTTTCAACCACAACCTTCGTCGCAGGAAGGTGGACTAAAATAAGACACTTATCTATTACAGCGACTTGACACAAATTCAGTTCTGTTACAGCGATTTAAAAAATTCATAGACCACTGCTTTATTGCAGCGATTTGAAGTAAATTCAGAGACCACTGCTGTATTGCAGCGATTGAGACTAATTCAGAGACCACTGCTTTATTGCAGCGATTTGAAATAGATTCAGAGACCGCTGCTTCATTGCAGCGATTTGAAACAAATTCATAGACCACTGCTTTATTGCAGCGATTTGAAGTAAATTCAGAGACCACTGCTGTATTGCAGCGACTTTTGAAATAAATTCAGAAACAACTGCTTTATTGCAGCGATTGAGACTAATTCAGAGACCACTGCTTTATTGCAGCGATTTGAAATAGATTCAGAGACCGCTGCTTCATTGCAGCGATTTGAAACAAATTCAGAGACCACTGCTTTATTGCAGCGATTTGAAACAAATTCAGAGACCACTGCTTTATTGCAGCGATTTGAAATAAATTCAGAGACCACTGCTTTATTGCAGCGATTTGAAACAAATTCAGAGACCACTGCTTTATTGCAGCGATTTGAAACAAATTCAGAGACCACTGCTTTATTGCAGCGATTTGAAACAAATTCAGGGACCACTGCTTTATTGCAGCGATTTGAAACAAATTCAGAGACCACTGCTTTATTGCAGCGATTTGAAGTAAGTGCTCAGCGCAGTTCTGAGCAAAACTAAAGATTTTCAAGCATACATTCATGCATTATGTATTTTATCCAAACTTGAAAACTCACTAGTCGTGAGAAGAATTTTGTTGGGGATACATAAACTTACGCATATACCTAACATGCTGCAGTCTACAGTATAGGCGGATAGTCTTTCCACCCTCATAATTTTTTCACTTAAAGCGTTATATTTCTCAAGAAGCTTGAGGAAATGAAGTACAATTTTGCACACTTACTTATCGTGATGCAAGGTTTTCGGAACCATTCTTTGGATAACGGCGTGGCACAGGAAACGACAGAATGAAATTATATACAAAATTCCGACTGGAAAAAAGTCTTTCCACCCAGACTAAAGTTAAATGCAACGTTCATTTTAAATTTTTGTTTGTTATGTAATAGTCCAATTATCATTTGCAATGTTCACCCAGGTCCTCTAGGAAGGCAATAACACCTCTAGGCATCAATACAAAAATTAAGATTGTGTATGAGGTGTCTAAATTCTCCAATTCAAATTTAACGGCGTCCCCTAGTCCATTCGGGTTTGATAGTTTTTGCTACGAAATTTTAGGCTTCATAATTGACAACAAATGTTCATTAACATTCCGTCCGATGATTTTAGAGTGCAATCCAACTATTCAATCTCCTTAGTTGCAAACCTATTCCCCAAAAACTTTGATCCATGCTTAAATTCACCATTCTGTTTTAAATAAAATTGTCACCACGCGGTAATTTCTTGCGTCGTAATCAAATTCGAACCCCTAATGTCGCAACAGCAGTTGGGGTCCATGACTCCTTTGATTATCTCAAAATTTCCGATGCCCTTCTACGACATTCACGCCCATACGTTTCGGTTTCCACCCCCACGATTCATGGTTTATTTATGGTACTTAGTTTTGTCTGTATCTCCTGGTCATCTCCTTACCCGAGTGACCTGATCTGAACCAAACAAGTTGGTCTTGGTCTAGTCGCTCCATGATGTACATTTCCAGTGTTGAATGTATCGATTTCGATACTTTTTAGCCAATTTCATAACCTTTGTCATATGGGCCTAGGAAATAAATGTTTTTTTCCGCACTGCTGGGTCTTTAAATCCAACTTATTCTACCCAATTTGTAGAATAGCAGACTCTACCCGAGAAAGTACCCTATCTTAAAATCGTGTCGAAGACCGTGATGAGAAACTTGTGTGTGCAAAGACTAAAAGGTTGAATCGAACCTCAATGTTTAATTAATAAACTAGACAATTTATTAGCTTTGACAATAACTCTCAAACTTAACTGACAAATGGGGATTGGAATTAATTACTTAAATTTACTTATTATTGCAAATCATAAAAAAGATGACTGCTCTCATTCAACTTAACTTGACTTGTTGACTGTGCAACGGCTACTTACATACTTACTAAAAAACTCACTCACACAAAAGAGAAGGGGGAAAAATCTGGAAGGATTTTGGAGTGGGACGTTTGAACAAGTGGGGAATTTTGAGAATTGAGACACAGAATATTTCACACAATTCGTTAGCCCTGGCTGTTTGGCTTGGGGGTGAGAACCGGTGGCTTTCGGCACTCGGAAGGTCTATGGTTCGATCCCTCATATCTCGGCAGCTGGGGCAGCCCTCCCTGGGTGCCAGTTACACACATTGTAGCTGGACACTCAGTAGAGTAGACTGAGCATGCTGCCTTTCCGTGGCAGTATTCGCGTCCAAAGGGGCATACATTAAGATTGAATAGGCAGTGGTGGGTAGAGGATAGGCGGAGTGGGACTGGCCCCGTAAGTGCAGGGGTGAGTGGTGGTGCTTACGGCAAGCCGGCGTCTCTTCCTGTCTTACTATCCTTAAATGGTTTCTCGATCCCCATATCTCATCAATAGATATGGGGATTATACCTGAGCAACTAGATAGCCACTGTCATACGGTGTAAGTAAGAGGATATGCAATAGATCTGATGGATGATCTGAGCATTGGGCTCCTCCAACAAGAGGAGCCCTCCTCCCAAAATACATACATACATACCCAATTCGTTACAGTTCGCACAGAAATTTGAAGGTCGTAGTCTTCCTTCGTTTCCAGTTAGTTTTTGGTCCTGCAGCCGAGTTTTTAGCTTAGTTGAGGAGAGGATGGCGTGATCGATCCTTGGGGCCGTAATGCTTGGCGGTCCATAAGCTAGGAATTTCGCCGCCGTACCAATATTTTTGTACTTTTGGACTATTCTGCCAACTATGTACTTCTTCACGAGTAGTTTATCATAAATTGTTTGGTATCGAAATCCCTCCTCACGAAATTTTACGACGTCTTGCCCAAGATCTGTTACAAGGCGATTTCCTCTCATTACGAGCTAATATTGATAAAAATCAATAATTTGAACATTATACAAACGTTATTTTTCAAAGAATGATATATCCCCTACTGGGTGGAGAACAATTTTCAAGAATGTTTTTAAGAATTACACAAAAACGACGAAAATGTCAAAAGGTGGAAAGACTTTTTTCCAGTCGGAATTTTGTATATAATTTCACCCTGTTGTTTCCTGTGCCACGCCGTTATCCAAAGTATGGTTCCGAAAACCTTGCATTATGATAAGTAATTGTGCAAAATGGCAGTTCATTTCCTCAAGCATCTCGAGAAATATGACGCTTTAAGTGAAAAAATTATGAGGGTGGAAAGACTTCCCGCCTATACTGTAGGTACATGAATTGGTTTGAATATTTAATCGGTTCCATGATTCCAATATAACTTTGTTACTCTTACCAGTAAAAGTGTTTATAACGAAACGACTAGATACATTGTAAATTTGAGTAACATCCAAATTGTTCACACGCATTTAGGCTATACTGAGGATGAGTAGATTTATAGATATAATACTGACAACCCCTGGTAATGGCTGACTTACACGCACGTACATACTTGTTTATTATGTGCTAAGCTTGTTGAAGCTGCAATGCTTCATTTAATACTACTTTCTTCTTCGTTTTACTTAAGTTACAATGACAATGAATAGTAATAATCAATAGGTCAAAAGAAAATTGTGTAACACACTCTATTGAATACAGGCAGGACTGTTTAGGTTTCTGAAAAATATTTTGGGTAAAATGGATATTTTGCGGCCGGTCAATAACAATATCTTCACTCTAATCGCAAAACTTCCTATAATATTAGTAACAACAATTGTAATTTTAGTAACACTGCCACTATTATGTTTTTTCTTTTTGATTCGACAAAGTGTGGCCCTGCTGGGCAAATTATTTATAGGGCTGAAAATGGTTCCATTATTCGATAGTCATATGGCAGCGGAAGATATTTACTGCACCAAGGCCATATCGATCAGCTTGACCTTGGTTAGAAATTCTCCTACCCTCGACAGAGAAAAAATGTTGCTCTTGGTTAAAGAAAACCTTCTTGAAAAGCGTGATAATAATGGCTGTCTGTAGTATCCTGAATTAATGTGTACACTTCGTCCTTTTCTGGGCTATTTATTTTGGGAACCCGTAAAACGGTTTGCTCTTGAAGAACACGTTTTGCTATACGAAGGTAGATAAAATATAACCTGATGGTTTCCAGTTGGGTAGTATTTAAATATGGCATGTGATTTAATACATGCATACATAGACACAGGACTTCCGATCCCTGATTGGTCAGATCCAGAAGCCTTAAAGAAAGTAGCAAGCCAGACGTTGAGATGTCGCTGTTGGACGAAAGGTGCACCGTTATGGGAAATAATACTCTTAGACAATGTTCCGGTTTCACACTTGCCTAACAATTCAAACAACGGGTCGCTATTCATTTTTCGATTTCACCACGTACTAATGGACGGTTATGGCACATTCAAAGTTCTGATGCAATTATTTGCCAAGCTCGACAACGTAAAGGATTCAGTTACTCCTGGAATGAGAGTTCAAGCGTTAACGTATGATGGAAAAATGACATGGGGTAAACTTCAAGAAATGTGCAATGCGCCGTTCAAACTGGCAGAGTTGTGTCTGCCCACGCTAGCGTCTCCTTTAGCCGTTACACCAATCTTTAAGGGTAAGCATGTGATATATTTACTTGGTGCGTAATGATTTAGGAGTGCCATATTTTAGCGAGTTTTTAAATATCTTGTGGTACTTCGCATGTGAGTGTAAACAAAGTGGGGTCTGCCACATATTCTTGGTGCTACCAGCGCAAAACTAGGCGAAATTAAACCAGCCCAACAAACTAATTTTTCGTTATACAAAAATTCTAATACTATGACAAACTTTTAATCTCAGATACTTTGCTTTATCGCATACGATGTCCATTCAAGTTATATATAAGATATTGAGATTTCGCGCTTCCAGGTGTGGAAATTATATCTTAGGTTTCAGTGAGGCCGGTTTACCCTTACGCAGCCCTTCAAGTAGAACACTTGAAATCGTAATTCTCCTTCACTTTTCTACACTCGTATGTATACACCTTAGTCATGTATAAATGATATGGAGATACAGAATTCAAATCGCATCAAATCAGATCGTATTTAATTGAATATTCAACTTCCAGGTAATGGGAACAAAACACTTGCCAACGGGACCGCAATATTCCCCTTGGCTGACATTAAAGCCATAAGAATGAAACACAATGTGCACCTCGCATCAGTTATGATTGCTGTAGTGGCCGGTGGAATTCGACGATTTCTGCAAAAATATGAGAAACCACTCCCCAAAAAAATTTCTATCCTATCGCCCCTAACCATGCCGGGTGGCCCAGACAGATTGACCAATCACGTGTACGAATTTAAGTCACAAAACGTAGATTTTAATTTATGAACATGTATAAATCGTTCACTTTTTTTCACCGGTGCAGCCGTATTTGTTATCCCGATCGTGGAACCCGACCATGTCAAAAGGTTGCGAGAAATAGCTGCAACCTTTTCCGCATACCGGACTATGAGCATTTTATCGCTGACTCACATAATTGGAAAATCTTTTGGATTGTTTCCTCAATTTTTATTGATAGCGTACAAAAACTTGTTTTCGTATCCGCCCGTCTATTTCTCTAATTTGTTTGGCCCTGCAGATCAAATTTTTCTAGATGAGATTCCAGTTACAGAAATTAACATAGGGGTCAATCTACCCATAAATGCGCCACGAGGTTTGAACCTATGAAAAACTTATTGCAACAGAATTTCTATTTTAACCAATAGGTATTTGTAGCTGACCTTTCGAATTTCAGGATTTTGCTTCTCATTTCTCACATATGCAGGAAAAGCTTATTTACGAGTTTCTGCATTCAACGAATACCTGGAAACAAATCAACATGCCGAGGAAATTTTGGAATATTGCAGGGACGAGTTGATGGAGTTAGCGTTGAAATAAAATTTATACTTAAAAAAATTTAAAATACCTTTCATTATGAATGTATACCTAGCGTTATTACAGAAGTGAGCCTATACATATTTGTCTGCACTGAAAAAAAAATGTTTCGTCATGCATAAATTTTATTATGCAATAAAAGTTATTTGTGATCAGAAATAAGAGTCGTCGATTTCCAGTAAATAGTTTCCTCCTGTTTCTTTCATAATGTATTCATAATGTTTCATAATGTTTCATAATGTAACCCATCTGGCGAAGTGGTCGAATTAGAAATCGAAATCGAATTAGTTAAAAATTTCAAATTGTCATGTTAAAAACACAAATGCTTTTAAATGCTACAACTGAACGCACATATTAATTCAGAAACATACATAGGTTATGCACATATACGCGAATAAAGTTCCCATCAAATATCAATGTTAGTAAGCTCGAGGTTAGTATTTTTACATTCTACATACTTAGCTAACGATATTTTTGTTTTCGCAATATCATACAGTGTCGGACAGATGTCTACGTCCACATAGTCGCGTCAATTTCATTTTCAAATTGTCACTGAACTACTGAACCAATTTTCATCATTGATATATCAAATTCTCACAAATTTAACGTAATTTCATAGCACATTATTAGTTTTCCGCTAAAAAATTTATTTTAGGCCAGAGATGTATTTTAATTCAAAATGAAAACAATTGGATGGACAAAAGTCAACGTCCAGTCAGAGAAAACATACAAAAAAACTGTAATTTATAAGGAATGTTATAACAATTAATTTTTAATATTTGGTTGGGCCTCCGTTCGCTTTAAGGACGGCTTCAAGGCGTCGAGTCATTGAGTTTACCAAATTCTTGGTCACATCTTCAGAAATGGTTTCCCAAACTTCACGAATTCTAGATTTAAGGCCCGGAATTCCTGAAAAAGATTGTTTTCTTATTTCTCTTTCAATGTGGTCGCACAGATGCTCAATGGGATTCAAGTCTGGAGATTGGGGAGGCCATTCTAGCTTCGGAATTTTTTTTTCTTGAAGTATTCCATGGTGGACTTGGCAGAGTGTTTCGGATCGTTGTCTTGTTGGAAGGCAAATCGTCGTCCAAGTCCAAGTTTTCGAACAGATTCCTGGATATTACGGTCAAGTATTCCCTGGTACTTGTATTGGTCCATAATTCCGTCAATAAATTCCATTTTTCCTGCCCCACTTGAAGCCATGCATCCCCACACCATTACCGACCCGCCGCCGTGCTTAACTGTGGGGTTGAGATTTTTTGGATTCAAAGCTTCTTTTGGATATCTCCACACTCTACGACGCCCATCTGACCCAAAGACATTGAACTTTGACTCGTCAGTCCATAAAATATGTCCCAGAATGTTTGTGGCTTGGAAATGTGGTCTCTGGCAAACTTCACTCGTTTGGTTGCATTCCTCGGTACAATAAGAGGCTTCCGGACTGCTCTGTGGGATTTCAAATTTCCCTTATTCAGTGTTCTTTGGATGGTCATAGGACTAACCTGTTTGCCGAACATCTCCTTGATCTCGGTAGATAGCTTTGGAGCACTAAGTGAGGGTGTAACGTTGACTTTGTTGAGCACGTGGCGTACTTCTCGGTGAGCCAAAATGGGTTTTCGACCACTTCTGACCTTGTTTTGGACTGAACCATTAGCTTTAAAGTTCTTAATGATTGTCTGGATGGTTGTCCTTGCTAATTTATACTTGGTCCATATTTGTCTCTGCGACAGCCCCCTTTTTGTCCACCCTTCCAGTCCTGAATGACAAGATCTCGAATAGCGATAGGAATTTCCTTGCGTGTCGACGCCATCATATTTTTCTGGAAGAAAATTACTTAAAAATTAATGCGGCATATGTTATTGATAGATTTATTAAGTTATCTGATTTTATAAATTGGAGGGATTTTTGTTGTTGACAATTAAAGTGAAGTGGACGTAGACTTTTGTCCGCTCAAATTTCATCCTCTCTCGCTCTGCACTATGATTCTCAGTTTTCCCAGAATTTTCAGAAATAACTCATATGTTTTATGAAATTACGTTAAATTTGTGAGAATTTGATATATCAATGATGAAAATTGGTTCAGTAGTTCAGTGACAATTTGAAAATGAAATTGACGCGACTATGTGGACGTAGACATCTGTCCGACACTGTATGTGTGCATTAAATTTAAGTATGTCGGTCTCACAATTGTGCTTATTTATTTGTCAGCTCCATACGTATGTATGTATATAATCTAGCCTGCAAGAGAAATATTATAAATAATTACTGTTAAAAACGACCAAAAAATAAAATCAATGTAAAAACTATCCAAGCATTTACAACTTGCCAAATCAGATTGCACGTATAATTATTGTTTTTCCTCTACATCACTTTGTCCATTTTTTGCATAATTACGAAAACAATTTAATAAAATGTTCATACATATGTGTGTGCATATTTTGCTACATATCATTGCTGTTGGGAAATGGGAATACCCACTAGAGTAGAAAGTATCCACAATGAATGAAATGAATTTTTTATCTTGATTCAAAATTCTTGAACCAGTTAAATTGTTATTGCCTTAGTATGTACTGATCTGCTCAGCACTTTTAATAGGTAGACTGTAATATGTAAATACGATAACGTATTTAACTCTGTTTCGATTCTCGCTATATACCATGCTTTTATTATGTCGACAACTGCGGCAACTTGGTCGTCGACACTCATTTCTTTGATAGTGATTTCCACGTCGGACTCGAATGTTTTAGTTTGAGATATTTCTTCAACCTGATCAAGCTCAATATAATTTGGGAACCAACCAATCCGTGCGTCTTCACTCCACAAAGTCGGAACCACTGTTCCCGTTTGGTTGGACTTAATGATCGTCTCGAGTGCCTCAATTCCAGCAGCAATTGAGAAAGACTGCACGCCAAACACATCTCTATTGATATTAGCCGTCATTCCCAACTCGTCCCATTGACCCCATGCGATGCAAGTAGCTGGTAAGCCAAGTCGATGGCGATAGGTTGCAAGACCCGTGACCGATGCGTTTGCTGCTGCATAATTTCCTTGTCCCAGACCCCCTAATAAACTGACAGCGGACGAGAATAGAACAAAATGCTCTAAGTTGAGTTGTTGTTGCGTTGCAAATTACAAGGGCCAGGCACCATTAACTTTCCCGTTGTATACGGTCTCGAATTTTGACATGTTTTGTTGCAACAAGGTCCCATCCGATATAACTCCGGCTGCATGAATCTGCTTGTGGAAGAAATTTCCGAGATAAGTTGAATGACCTGGACGGAGCATAGTTTAATAAATGTTAAACCATAAGATTTATGTACTTATATAGGCGAGAAAAATTTAACTTCAATTTATAAATTTTAACGATAGCATGCAATTAAAGTAGTCTCACCTGTTCGGCATTCCCTACGTCAACAGATTTAATGATTACACAGGATACATCCACTTGATGTGCTTTTAATTTCTTAAGTGTCGAGTCAGCTAACTCTTCTCCTCGTCTGCTAACGAGAACTATATTTTTAGCGCCAGACGAAAGCATCCATCTTGCGATTTTAAGCCCAATCCCTCCGAGTCCTCCAGTTATGAGATACGTGGATCTGGTGTTGAAAACTTGTCCAGTGCGGTTTACCACAACCTTACCGATATGCTTCGCAGTCTGAATCTGTACTAAAGCTGATGTTATATATTCCGGGCTAAAGATATTTATTTTCAAAGGCTTCAATTGATCGTTTTCTATCCAGTAATTAAGACGTTCAATCAGGTCAATTGCGCGCGGAGTATCGAGAACACCTAGATCTTCAATAGAGTAGATGACGTCGGGTCGGTGCCTATAAACTTCTTCTGGACTCCAGATATTGAGTTTGCTCATTTCAATAAATCTACCGCCCAGACGGGTGACGGACAGTGAAGCCTCTTTCCATCCTTTTGAAGTCAACGAATTAAGTACAAGGTCTACCCCGGCACCTGAAGTTGCCTCCAGAACTCCATTGGCAAACGAGGTGTCTCTACTGTTGTAAATATGAGTCAATCCGAGTGATCGTAGATAAGCTCGCTTTCTGTTGCTTCCAGCAGTTACTACTAAATTTACTCCAAGTGCTTTAGAAATTTGAATTGCGGCCAGGCCTACGCCTCCAGATGCCGTGTGTATTAGCGCCGTCTCTCCGGCCTTCAACTTCCCAACGGACACGAGACAGTGGTACGCTGTGACGAATGCCGTGGGAAGTGATGCGCCTTCTGAGTGACTAAAATTTGTAAAGTTTGGCAACCAGGTCGGCATCTAGAGCCAAATAATTTGGAAGGGGTTGTGGTGAGGGATTCTTTCCAATCACAAAGTCGCCAACTTTCCATCCTGATACGGACGTGCCAATTGCAACCACACTTCCTGAGAAATCAGCACCAACTCCATTGGAATTTTTGAACTCGTCGGTGGGCTTCATTATGTTTAATATATCCTTGAAATTTAATCCAGAGGCGTGGACCAATATTTCAATCTGGGATATATAGAATAATTCAAAAAAAGTTATTAACCTTTTGAATGTACGTTGAATAAATCATTCAATGAAATATGAACAAAATTATAGATGTTTAGATGTAACAACCTGATTTGGACCCAGTGCCGACTTTGGGAACGACGTTCCTTCCAAAGTCACATCTTGAATAGAACGCGAACTTGGAAGCTTAAGTTGTGATTTCTGGTTGGTCTCACTAGTGCACGATTTCTTGGGCATCTGCAGTCGTACAATTTTGGCAAGATATTTTTCTCCCGCTCTGTAACTTATTATGGGTTCTGCGATCCACTGGGTATTTGGTTTTTCCCACTCTGATACTATCTGGGATATTCTAATTTCCACCTTGTCTGAGTCTTCCAAATCCAAGCATTTCACATGAGCATTTATGACTTCAGTCGCTAGATTACGAGAAAGTGCTTGGACTGGTGAGCCAAGTAAAATAAATGCTTCTTCGTCAGCAATGGAGGCTTCGTTATGCGTAATAACAAGAACTCTGCTCTTTGCCTTCTTATTAACGAGTTCCTGTGCCAGTTGAAGAAAGAAGAAAGTGTTTCCCAAAGTGTTCTTCATGGAAATCCTCGCCGTTTGCAGGAACGCAAAAGACGAATAACTCTGCATTCGCAACAGTACAGTATTGGGTGTAATCAAATCACTAAAATCTAAGCGAGTTCCTTTATCGCTGGGCAGAACTAGTGCCAGGCGATCTGCGATTAATGAGTTTTCGTCAGGAATAAGTACCCAATTAGTTGATCCGGTAGAAGAAGATTCTTCGCCAGTATTTGTCGCTACAACTACGCCCATCCCAACGTCTTTACTTTCCAGCGACGAAGTTGATTGGAAACCTGCCGTGGCTAAAACTTTCTCCCAACCTTCTCGGTCCAGGATACAGTGAGTTTTTCTATGCGCATCATCAAACTTCCAGTAACCATCGCAATGACCAAAAACAATATCCACGGTTGCTGAAGGTTTAAATTGTTCTCCAATAAGCAGATGACCTCCTGGGACGAGTAGCTCCCTTAGGTTGCAACAAACTTCTTGGACGTCCTGGGTGGCATGAAGTACGTTAAGGGCTACGATGACATCGTAATTTCGCTTAAGAAGGCCTTGACGGCACGAATCAAGTTGTACATCGAAAGTACAAAACTCGAAAGTCATGCCATTGATTTTTGGTAAACTGTTCTCTGCTGCAGATAAGAACGACGGTGAAATGTCTGTGAATGTGTAAGAGGTATTGTAACCGTCCAGAAGTGGAATTATGTTTTTAGTGGCACTCCCAGTTCCTGCACCGACTTCTAATATCTTCAAATGGCTTCTATGCTTGAAATGTTGTTCGAGCAGAAAGGAAAACATGGAAGTCAAGTTTTTGAGCAATCCAATGTTTGTGGTGAAATTTGAGTACAAATTATCCGCCGAGTATTCCGTTTCGCCTGATGATCCCGCTGGGAATAGATATGGAAGAACTGAATCCTTTGTTAAAAGCAAGGAGGCAAGCTGGGCGCCATAGAAATTTGCAAAATGCCATTCTTTAATTAAATTTTGTCGTGTTTCTGCAGGAAACAATTGTGCTTCCCCAAAATCTCGTATCACATCCCACTCAGAAGTCGATTCAATTTTCTTCAAATATCCCGCCTCCTCTATATAGTGCATCAATCGAAGGAAAAATTTTAAATTTAGTTCTCTTAGTCCAAGCACACTGATTACGTCCTGGGTATCTACTTTGCTTCCTACAGGCCACTGCCAGCCAAGCTGTTGAAATGCTGATACAATGCGATTCAAACTAGATTCTTCAAGGAGTTGTAGCTCTTTAACTTCGTTATCACAAAGTGTAAAAGTTCCGGGAAGACTAATCGAGTTTGAGGCAGAGACTTCAGGTTGGTGATGATGCTGATGCGGTTTAGCCGGACCGTCAAATTTTTGCCATTCTTCAATATAGATTGGGAGGGAGTTTGTTCTATGTGGTGCTAAAGATTTTTCAAGTCGTCTCAGACTTGTGGACACTGTTTTAAGGCCAGACAGGGTCGCCATTTCCGTCGATTCCATATATTGCGATTCGGAAGGAATACAATCGAGAAATAGGCTCGCTCCTTTTGAAGACCCGTAAATTTTGAGGAACGATTGATTTGGTTTATTAGGTAGCTTGTACAATCTCAGAGACCGGATTTCCACAGGCAACTTTAGTCCGCCTATTTGATCCTCCTTTATCAACAAGCTACCCTGGATTAGGGCATCGATTATTGTTGGATGCATTAAGTAACCGTTTGATTCCAAAATTTCGTTTGAGGTGTTCACACGACAAGTGAAGCTCGTTTTGTCCGTATTGGAAAGGATATTGCTCAGCGTTTTAAATGTACTTCCAAAATTGTAACCAACAGTTTTCATTTCTTCATAAATGTTTCCAATCTCATTTTGATTATCATTGTCGAAGTTATGAAGAATATTGTCGTTCCTATCAATTCCGTCTCTTCGTTCTGTTACGCTAGGATTTTGCAATAGCACTTGAGCCATTGTCGACGCGTGCAACTTAGAGGCAGAAAATGCATCTGAGGCTGAATTTCTACTATGAAAGGAAACACTATACGTCTCAGCCGCCTTGATTACTTGTACGTGTATGTACAGCAGAGAATTAGTCCCCAGTGGTAGCGCAGCTTTTATTTGTAACATATTTAACTCAATTCCAAATTGTGGCACAATTTTCGTTGCTTCTACGTTTTATTATGTCAACGGCCGCAAACACCATCTCAGCATACCCCGCAGCTGGGAAAATAATGTGAGATCCCAACCTATGATCCTGAAGCCAGTCCCCGCTTAATGGATTCGCCAACAGCCGTCGGGTCGAGTTAACAAACGCGTAACTTCCTTCCACCATGGTTGGAAAACATGACCCCAATAATGGGTGAACCTCTTGCTCTTCATAAAACGATGCTGGCTTTTCTGAAGGGATAGTGCTGAACCAAAACGATTCATTCGACGTGAAAGCATACAGTGGTACAAGACTAGGAACCTTACAAAGTGGAGCTAATGTTAAGCTTTTCCACAATGTTGACCAATCCAGATCCACCCCCTCCGTACACAATAACGTAGCGGTGTCCAACATGGTTAGCATATCTTCGGTGCCTTTCCTCAGGGATGGAAAAAATAAAGGTTTTTCAGTTGCTGTGATTATACCGGATGCTGCAATTTTGCTAACCAGCGGACATAGTACAGGATGTGGACCAACTTCCAAAAATATTTGGCCATTTTGTTCTTGAAGAGCTGCCTTTGCGGCTCTAATAAATTCAACGCGTTGTCGCATGTGTTTCCGCCAATAGTTGGCTTCTAATTTCTCATCATGATCAACTACTCTCCCGTACACTGAAGATACGTAAGCCACACTTTTGAACTTTCTACTAGGATAATTCAATTGTGCTGCTTCAGATTCAAATTGATTAAGGACGAGCTCCAGGGCTCTAGAGTGGAAAGCATGGGTGACATGAAGTGCTGTGTTTTTAATCCCGAATTTAGTGCAGAACATCGAGAACTTGGAAATAGTATCCGGCTTAGACGAAATCACTGTTTGTTCACAAGAACTTAAGGCCGCAATATCTATCCAAGTATCCGTTTTTGTATCATCTTCCAAAAACTTGTTGATCAGGTTTGTTGTTACATCCTCATCTGCTTAAAGCACCAGCATCCCACCTTCGTCATGAGTTCCGACCATTTTCGTTCGCGAGGCAACGAGAAGTTCGAGAGCAGTTGGAAGGGACAAGGTCCCAGCTACCACTGAAGCAGCAAACTCTCCGAAAGAGTGTCCAAGCACAATTGAAGGAAAAATACCCCATGCACCCCAAACTTTAATAATACAGTATTCTACAGCAAATATGCATAGCTGCGAATAAATTGATGTGCCCGTTCCCTCGAATATTTTAGATTTTAAATTAATCCCATAATTCTTCTCTACTATGGAATGCATAAGATCCATATGACGTCTAAAAACGGAACAGTTTTCGTACAAACTTTGCCCCATACCAGCATATTGGCAACCTTGTCCAGGAAATACAAAGCATACTTTTGAGTTTGAATTTTCATATGGTTTGTGAGGTTTCAATTGTGGTTCTTGTGCGTGGTCTGATAAGATTGCTTGAATTAGTTCCATCTTGTTCCGTCCTACAACAGCGTATCGATATTCTTTAAAGTGGTCTCGACAAACAGCGGATGTGTAGCAATAGTCCGCCAGTTGACGATCTAGATTTTAATATCACAATTGTTTGAAAGCATAATACATACATGAAACAATTACTGCTTAATACAAAAAAGTCATAGCTACCATCTAAATTCTGTAGAGCAAAAACATGTCTCTTTTTCAATTCCGCCATTGATGATGCACATTTTGCCGCGAGGGGAAGGATGTAAGCGGAGAGGGTATCAGATTGAGGAATCTTGTTGTTCCGTGGAATTGATACACGCTGAACTATAAGATGCGAATTTGTTCCGGTAATTCCAAATGAAGAGACGCCAGCGTATTTCCCTTTCCATGGAAGCAATTGTAATGGTATTTGAATTCCTTCTAAGTTGAATTTTGGGTTGAGTGTGCCATTTAATCGCTGCGGTGGGATTGCTCCATATTTCATCCCCAGAACCACTTTGAGCAGTCCCGCTGCTCCAGATACGCTCTCTGTGTGACCTATGTTTGCTTTGACCGATGTAATTATCAGCGGTCGCCGCCTTTCAGATTTTTTAATGTCCAATCCATATGCTACTCTGGTTGCTGCTACTTCAATAGGGTCTCCAACCTTTGTCCCGGTGCCATGCATTTCCAACCAGTCAATGTCTGATGGTGAAACACAAGCATCCATCAAAGCCAGCGTGATTGCACGTGCTTCTCCATCAATCGTTAGCGTGCCGGCCGATCTGGAGAGACCTTCTTGTGATGTTCCATAGCCAGATAGAAGGGCGTAGATATGGTCACCGTCCCGTCTCGCGTCGGCTTCCCTTTTCAGAGCATACATTATCACTCCCTCTGCACGAGCGGAGCCGTCTGCATCGGAGTGAAATACTTTGGAGCGACCGGATGGGGACAAGACACCCTGGGAAGATGAAATTAATCAATCATGAGCTACATACGATGTATTCAGTATTGACAAATTACCTGAAACTCTTTGTACAGAAACGGTTTCAATATTAAGTTCGCACCACCGGCAAGTGCGAGTCCGGTCTTGTTGTTTCTTAGGGCAGCCATGGCTGCTCCAATGGAGCATACCCTTGAAGAGCATCCAGTTTCGGTTGATAAGGCCGGTCCAGTGGTTCCAAAAGCATGCGCAACACGAGCCGCTGCGGTCCCCATGGAGCAACCCAAATATCTACGAAGTTCGTTGCCAGCACTGCTTCCAGTTTGTACAAGTAGGTCATTGTAATCTTCTCGCCAGAAACCCAGCAGAACTGATGCGTCCGTCCCATGTATAGTAGATGGTGGAATTCCAGCGTCCTCAAGCGCCTGATGTTAAAAATTAAGTTGCTAATGAATGATCTCATTTGTTGATAACAAAAAATATAGTCTACTTGTGATGTACCTCCCAAGCCAACTGTAACACCATTCTTGCCTGTGGATCAGTGTATTCCAACTCCAGTGGGGATATTCCCCAAAATTTAGCGTCGAATGTGTCGACGGGACAAGATAAATATCTAGCTTCGGTTGATAGATGCTCCGATGTCATCTTTACGCAGCCACGTTCAGGTTGAAACCGATCCTTTGGCGCTTCTCCAATACTATCAACCCCTCCGACAAGATTATTCCAAAAAGTGTGGTAGTCGTTGGAACCAGGGAGTCGACAAGCCATTCCAATTATTGCTATTGGTTCATTTTCAGATGTTTGGTCGGTTGACTCCTCGTCCGATGTTGTCATCCCGTTGGGAACCTCACCTGAAATTATCAATCGAAATGTTAAAATGTATATAACATTTTTTTTTACTTTTATTTGCGATACACACAATTCATTACTATTTCCTAGCAACAACGAATTATAGTGCAATAAATTTACGTAAATTTGTATATTTGTATCAATCCTTGTAAATAATGTCAAGACATTTGTGTTCATACCATCGTGCGCAATTCTAAAAGTGACGGTATCCCAAAGACGAAAGCTGCAATCCTGTGGGTTTTCATCTTCTCCCATCGTAACGACAAAGTCAAAGATCATTTCCAGTTTGGTGCTAAGTTTGGAAAATCGTGACAGAATTAAAAATATATTATCTAAATTAGTTACTTATTAACATCAATATCTATGCATTTACCATTCCTGCAAAGATATTGCTGGTCCTACAAACACTGCAGAGTTATTATGTGCAGTTTCTTCCTTCCTATAAGTTTCCACGAGCCAAGGAATCTCTTGAACTTTTCGGATTGCCCCAACCCATATGGACGTCCTTTCCTTCGTACCGTTCATCATTTTTGTAGCAGATTTGTAAATTGTGAAATTCTCAAAAGTGATGTCTGGATATTAAAATAATCCAATCGTAATTGAAACTAAATTTATTGTTTGCACCGACACGGATTATTTCAGAATGGCAGGTATTTCTATTATTTCGTAGGACATAATGTAACTTAAATTACATACTCACGCTTAAAATCAGTGGTACAAATTAATCCGCAAAGTATGAAAATGAGTTTTTGTAACATTAACCTAACCCTGCCAAAAAAATCCACGCTTTAATAATATCCTACAATTTTATGTGATATGCAACTCGTGTACAATGTGCATAATATGTGCGAGCCATGAGCTAATTGCTCAGTAAATCTTCAGTCCGGATAATGTGCCATCAGTCAATATCAGCGAGTTAATACACTATCCATTCTCCTATTAAGTCACGATGCTACCGTTCGGTAATACACCGTAAATACAGACTCATGTAGAAATAAATATTTTTCTTTACTATAAATTATTAACAACTCGTCTTCATTCCAGAATTCTTGCCTGATCTTGATACTGATTACTATAAATGGCTAAAGTGGTTAGTCGCGCCCATCCTAATTGCGCATATTCTGCCCGCTTTCGTCGCCATATTTTTTACCCTTAGTTCCTTATATGCATACGTGTACACTATTTGGATCAGGTAAACATAAATCAGTATTTACATAAATTAACTATGTTTCAAAATTTATAAAGACATTTTTCACTTTCTTCCCATATTTAGAAATGATCAACAAATTCAAAATTCCTTCAGAGTTGGGCAAATATTTCTGGCAAAACTTTGGAACGCACAAGCTCGTATTTGGCACGGTTATGAGGTTGAAGGAATTGACAACATTCCGAAAACTGGACCCGCAATAATTATCCATTATCATGGCACTGTACCGATTGACGTTTATTATTTAATTGCCAAATGCGTTACAGATATTGGCCGGTTGCTAAGTGTTGTCGCGGATCGGTCATTGTTCAAAATTCCTGGTATGATTCACATGATATGTTAAACAATAGGGGTATTCACGTCAAGTTGAGGAAGTCTTAAAGCCCGCTTAGCAAAACATCTTCGCAAATTAGCGATGTTTCTAATGTCGCAACTAGATAAAAATCCCTTATTTAATTTCTTCAAAATATGTGACATACATGAATTTTTCGTAAGATCGTCGAATTTTCATTTTTCGTCTCATTTTCAAGTTTCTAGTTTTATTTTAAATACGCCGTTCAGGATACAGTTTTCGAAGACATTGTTGCAAAGATGAGTTCCGAAACATCGTTTTTGACGTGAATACCTCAAATTTGAGGTTTTGGGGCATATTGCGATATTTCTATTAACCAAGTGTCTCCCCAACAGGATGGGCCTCCCTTCTCAAATTTATTAAAGCCACACCGGGAGGTTTTGATACGTGTTTGGGAATTCTAAATGCAGGCGATATCCTCATAATTGCACCCGGAGGTGCGTACGAACTCCAATTTAGCGATAATAACTACAAACTAAAGTGGAAAAATCGGGTTGGATTTGCGAAATTAGCATTAGCAGCGAAAGTTGTGAGTAACTTTTAGATTGTAGATCAAGGAACAAAATTTATGAAATTTTACTTTTTCAGCCAATTATTCCCATGTTTACGAAAAACATTCGCGAAGCGTATCGAAATGTTACGTATCGCTTTCGACACTGGTTTTATGCCACGACAAATCTCACATTTGTCCCAATGTATGGATTTTTCCCGGTCAAATTGAAATGCTATATTGGAAAAGCGATGCCATACGATGCAAACAATACGCCGGAAATGCTGGCACAAATGGTTAGTTTTTATTCAGATTCTGAAAATAATTTATATTTTTTGGGGTATGCAAAACTTGATCTTAAATTGTTAGTGTAGAATAAGTCAGTCGCCTACCCGGTGAAAGCTATTCTCTAATAAATACTGATCAGGCCAGTCGCAGTTCCGTGGCGTATTTAATTAAATTGAATGCAGGAAATGATGACTCGAACTCTTCCAATGATACACCTTTAATATTTTATTTCTCACTAATTAATTTCAAACAGAGAAATAATCACACCTTAAAAATTATGTGTGTGTGCTCAAAGGAAGCTAAACGAGAAAGTAATGAGCAGACTAAAAAACTTCTGCCTTCATAAAACAATGTACGTTTTCTTGATCACGTACGCAAAAACATTAATGTACAAATTACAAACTAGATGGCTGCTCCGATACTATTTCTATACCAAAACGGGGCAATAAAATATTCTCATGAAATCCAACAGTTAGCTTATTTATTTAGGTTGCTAAATCTATCGAAGACCTGATTGAGGAACACCAACGTCTTCCAGGAAGGATTTTGCATGCACTCGCAGAGCGATGGGAGACCTCGTCTCTTCCGAAAACTAAATGACTCGGAAACTTAATACGTTGGAATACATACATCAAAAAAGTATAAATATACTGCTTGTCATACTGTACAAGGGGCCGTCCATAAATTATGCAACGAAAAAATCCAGATTTTCTAGATCCCCTACCGTGTTACATAATTTATTATTGGCGCTTAACACAATAAAGATCTTTACAACCATGGTTCAAGGTTTCCCTTGAAACTGGCCAATTCATATATGCATTTATGTATTGCAAATGTACATATAAATTTAATTGATTCCATAACAACTTGTAATGATATTCTAAAGTGAAAAAATTGCCCATAAAAAGCAAAAAAAAAAATATGTATTTATTAATCTCCAACTCTGCTCGAACAATGTTAAGCATTAAGTTGTTGTGAAATTCGCGACAGAATAGGATGCATTAAGAAGATAAGACTAGCACAATTTTCGCTTACATGTTTCCTTGCAATTTTGTATCAATTTTTTAAATAATAAATTACCATCCCGATAATTATCCACGATACTATTTTACCTCTAATTAATACATATAATTGATTATTACTATTCGATGAAGAAGGCGATAAAAATAAAGACTTTTGGATAACAATGTTTATCATCATTATCCATACAAAGTTCATTCCGCATTTAAGTAAATTCATCATTACCAATTTTTTTTCAGTGTGTGGTTTTGCCCGTCAATAATTCCACGAGCAGTAAAAGTTTTTACTCGCTGTGCACAAATCTCAACTGGAAATAAGCAAAGCATTTAAATCATTGCAACATTATTAGTCAGGCATATTTAGATATCTGGATATGCATAATTGTTCATTATAATTGCAATAGGTAACAACATTTGTTCCAGACTAATAAAAATTTAATAAAAAGGTTTAAGGTTACACGCGGGGTTCACGTGGTTATACATTTTACATAAAGAGGTAAATTGATCTCTTCAGGATTGGAATGCCACTCTCTGCATGGAATTCCCACTTCTCGACTATGTTTCAAGTGTAATTATGTAGTTTACGTATTCATATACAAGCTGGTCATGAAATTTGTAATTGGGCAAAAAACTAGTGTAATTTTTTGGAGTAAATAATAAAAATAAATTTACCCGCAATCTCCTTGAAGGATTTTTGTAGTTGTTATAACCTCAACCTCAAGAAAACCTTCAACCTGTTTATGATAAAAAGCAAGAGTTTAGTATTAAAAAAACTTCAAGATGGACGATCGCAAATACAAAAATATGAATACTTATTGCAGTACAGATTTATTCGTGGGTATATATTTTTTCAGTCTTGCTCGCAATTATTTCTGCGTAAAGATGGAGTAGATCCTTCACAATATTTAAGATTTAATGGCTATCAATCGAACGCCAAGGTTGAGCTTGTTGCCTGGTTCTTGTTGGTATCGGGGTAACCATGAAGATCAAAATAACGCCATGTGACTTCTTCAGTGGGAAGGTTCAGAAAAATACGACAGATGTGCCTGCAGGGACGAACATGATTGAAAAAATGTGTCTTGATTATCTCGATAAAATTGATGGTGAGCAAAATTAAATATATTTTTAGCTTTATGCAAATTAATCATGGAAATTATTGCCATTCAAATTTTTAGAAGCGATTCAGAAATCAGAGCTGCCTGAATTTCCTTCGCTCCTTGAAAATAAGAAATGTCAATCGACATCCCAGCCTTACGAAATGGAAGAAGACGTCAAACCTAACTTGGCGAATTTGACATCAATATTAGCCCAACCGACACAACATAATCCGGGGAATTTCGTAAAATTTTCACCAAATCGTGCACAAAACGGTACGTCAAAAGTGTCTCTTTTCGTAGAATTATTGATTAAATAAGGTCAATTAATTAGCTAATCATTGTTACTTTCACCTAGATCGAGCCACGCGAAAAAATACTAATCGCAGAAAACCCACGTTTAATCCACACCATCTTCACGCTTTCTGCATTCCAATCTTCCCAGGGTTACCATGGCAACCCAATATTTGTCTTCATCGGTCATCTGGTATCCAAGGACGAAACCGATTTCCACCAAACATAAAATGCAAACGCGAAGATATCCAAATGCCGAAATTGGAGGCGGAAATACCAGAATGGTTCTCAACCGTGTCCGGCCGCACCAGAAGGAATTTTATGAAGAAGGAAAGAATCCGTAATAGAAATCTGCATAAATGAAAGGATTCATATATACTGATGCCTTGTAACTTGTGGTATTCATGAAACTGTGGTTAATTTTCCTGCGTCACCTAAAATAGAAATTGCTCAAATTTGTACGTGTTTGATATGTACTGGTAAAATAAATCTGTAAATACTGAAGAAAATTTCACATGTAATACATAAATTCCATACATGACAAATACATTAATAGGCGTTGTATATGTATTTTGCGCAAATAAGCATGCACATATTCAGATGTGCATAATTTCAAATCATTAATTTGCAATAGAAATTTTCGAACAAGCACAATTTTATATCATGCACTTATGTATCGAGAATAATTTTCATAGTTTGAAAAGAATAAATAACAAATATTAAGAAGAAACACAAATAGTTTTTTTTTCTACAACAGTTTACATACATATGTATGTAGGTTATTAACATTTTTCCCACCACATTTTCATCCGCATAATAAATTATGTATCTTAAATTGTACAAATGGTTGCGTTTACCATTAATCGAATACTTTATGGTAAAACTGAAATCTGAAAAGACAGCGTGCATAATTGAACCAGTTTTTTTACAATCTGTTCGTCTCATTGTCCATGCATATGTCTGCCCAGCTCATAATTTCTCACGGTTACCTGTAATAACTATCGGTTGCATTTGTGCAGGTGAAACTTCACATTTGACATCCTCTACCCACTTGATCCACTAAATTTTCAAAACACGTCAAAAACAAGAATTGTTCCTTTTGAGATAAAAAAATGCACCCCAAAACTACCACAAATCCATTGGAAATCTTTTACGACGGGTATTACTATGACATAACCGAATTTTCTGCTAAACACCCGGGCGGCGACATTATTTTGTACTACACCGAAAAAGGGGAGGATGCCACCCAAGCCATTCAGCAATTTCATAACCGATTCTTCCCAAAAGTGAAGTTAATGCTGGCCAATTTGAAAAGGCGACCGGCCACAGAAAATGATAGTAAGGAAACAGATAAATTTTGAAATACATATACTCATAAAAATTGTGTTGCAATTTAATCAGTATGTTCATCTCTGACTGAGTCTTGATCTCTAACTGAGTTTTTTTTATAAAATCTCCCCTTGGTACGATGTAGATTTCATAACTATAGCTAAAAGCAACCAATTAACATTTTCAACCAGTTTCCAATTTTTGAATTTTTTAAGAAAAACACAAAAAACCTAGTTTTTAACATTGGCCGGTATAGGGAAAGTGCCAAAATTTGGGGTGAAAATTATCCGAAAAATCCACTTTTCACCATCGAGTTTTCCACATAATATCGAAGAAATATTATTTTCTTAGAAATTTTGATGCAAAGGTAATTTATGCAGTAGATACATTTGCTACATATTTCGTCGTCACCGGTAAATAAAATAATATACAAATATGTGTACTATATAAATACAAAGAGTAACGTTTACTGGACAAAAAGTAAAGTTTACACTGGATTTAATGAGTTAACTTAATATTGAATTCAGAGTGCATTTACATATCTTTCGTAAAGAGAAAATTATTTTTAACAGTTTAAAATTATCTTAATTCATAACAAGTACGAAGTTATAAGCGTCTATTTTTTCAGATCTGCTCACACCTGAAGAAGCGCAGCGCCATCGCGACATTACCCACGATTTTGCGGAATTATTCGCCTGGATGAAAAGTCAAGGAATGTTTGAGCCGTCACCGTGGCGAATAATTTGGCGAATTGTGGAATGTTCCCTGATGTGGACGATTGGCCTTTACTTTTGTGGCAGTAGAACCTTTATTCTTCAATTCTTTGGGGCCGTGCTGTTTGGCCTAGGCGGTGCTCGGGCCGGTTGGGTAATGCATGAAGCTGGACACCACTCACTAACCGGAAACCATAACGCTGACAGATGCATCCAGTCAATTATTGTGGGTAATTGAACAATTCCAAATTTTGGGTGTATTTATTCCCGAGAAATATGTCTGTCTGTAATATTTTTGGTTTGAAAATTATTATCTACTTTTTTTATTAACTTTTAATTAATACCCCTATCGTTAAGAATCTACTATATGTCCTGAATATTTTGCACATTTTTCTTTTTTAGGCATTCTAGGCGGGGTTGGAGGCGGGTGGTGGAGAAGACACCACAATAAGCATCACGCTATGCCTCAGGTTTACTAGCTTGTACACATTTTAATTTTATTTTAACTTTCAAAAATAATTTATCACGGTATAAATAAACATAACTTAACAGAGAATAGACTATGATCTGGACCTCAATACGATGCCAGTTCTTGCAAATTCTATCGAAGTTGTCAAACATCCGCGGCAGGGCAGTTCCTTTTTTATTCAAAATCAGGTACAGAAATATGCACCTTCCAAATAAAGTTGTGAAAAATTGGCTCATAATTTAGCGAAATAGGTAAGAAATGGCGCAAAAACTGGGTGAAATTTAACTAGCCGTTGTTCAAAATTTTACAAAACGTGGCATGAATTTTTCACAACCATGGACACATATTTTTTTTTAATTGATGTGACGTCCTCAGCTTGATTACATAAATTTTGCACAACTATTTTTAGAGTGCGTACTAGGCGCAACCGTTACATATACAGATTAATGCATGTGTCAATTTCAAAAATATTTTAAAGTGATGTTTATTCATTTTACCCAAATTCTTCAGAAATGGTTGTTCCTCGCCTTAGACTGTTTCCTCGCCACGATGGCTTGGCGGCTGTACAGCAGTCCACGAAGCGCTCTCAAATACCACAACTACTTCGACCTGCTCATGATGTCGATTCATTGGTGGATTTTGTTAACCTTTGCGCCTCCATGGACAATAATCTTTGGGGTTTGGGTCGCAGGAACGTATCTCTTCGGAAACTTTGCCCTTTCCCACAGCCGTCTTCCCGTCGCTAGGAAACAGACGCACTGGGTCGAGTATGCTTTTCGACACACGGCAAATATCAAGTCTTCCTTGTGGATGGACTGGTGGACGGGGTACTTGAACTTTGAAATAGTGCATCATCTCTTCCCCACCCTTCCTCCCTTCAGATCGTATTTAGTGAGGGATAAAGTTATCGCTTTAGCGGCGAAGTATGACCTTCCCTACAACGAATTTTCCTATATGGACGCGTGGGCACAAAATTTCAGAAATCTGGACAAAGTTGCGGAACATTTTAAATAAACCGTTGTAACGTTAGAAATAGCTCGCCCTGAAACATAATTTGCGTATAACTTCGCACCGAAGGTGCAAAATAATCGGACAAATTATATGCAAAATTTTGACACAATTTTGCACCAATGGTGCACAACAATCGCTGCAAATAAATGCATTATTTTTATGTATATAATTTGGCACCAATGGTGGAAAATCAACGGACAGAATAGACCCATAAATTTGACATAATTTCGACTTTTTCGACCCCTCGGGTGCGAACGCATTCCTACTGGTTATTCTGCACTTTTGGTGCGTATGGCATCAATTCCCCCAATTGCTTAGGACCATTTTGTGTCGTCGCTTGTTCAGTACGAATGGGGCCATTGATAACCTAAAAAATGGACATGGCCCTATTTAATTAGCATCAATTGATGCAAAAAACTCATTAACAGACAGACGGACAGACGGACAGACGGACAGACGGACAGGAGGAATTCAATAGCTCTCATGCTACGCAGGGCGAGCTAATAACTGGTAAATTCGCTTACTTATATGTTTGACTCAATTATGAATTTTCTTGTTCAAGAGGTTAAATTGCAATAAATGGTTTAGATACTTAATAAAGGTATGTTTAATCTGTTATAAATTTAAACATGCACAAAAGGTTTCCTTACATATTATTTTGAACATTTAAAAATCTTTATCTTTATTAGCTCGCCCTGCGTAGCACGAGAGCTATTGAATTCCTCTTGTCCGTCCGTCCGTCTGTCCGTGTGTTCACGAGTTTTTTGCATCAATTGATGCTAATTAATAATCCCCTTGACCATTATAGAATAACTTAAGCGCACCATTGGTATCGAACAATCCGTGGCGCAAATGGTGCGAATTAATTGTGCAAATGGATCGAGAAAGCACTACAATTTTGGAATAAGTAGCACCGTTCGTATTGAACAGTTGGTTATCCAAGCTGATGCGAAACAATTGGATGAGCATCAATTGATACTCACTAGAATGGATCAGGTCCATTTTTTCATAAATTAATAGCACCGTTGGTATCTGACAATCGGAAACACCAAATGATGCGAAAGAATTGGGGGCTTTGATGCATCACGCATGAATAGTGCATACTACTCGGCGGATATTATTTGACAATTCTGACATAAATTTTTCAAAATTATCGTTGATCGTTGGTAGGTAATTCTGCACCAGTGATGCACAATTTTCGGACTTTCCTCGATGCATAATAATTATTGATCTATGTTGTTTAATTTATCTGCACCATTGGTGCAATATTGCATAAACATTATTGATCTATTTTGTTGCATTTTTCTGCACCTTTGGGGCAAGTTATAACCAAATCATTATTACAGGGTGAGCTACTTCTAACGTTACTACGGTTTATTACATGAGGTTTTTATTAAAATCGGTCTCTAATTTTTCCACACATTAAGTCTTCTGGCCGCATCTGTGCATCGTAACACTTCCGTAAGAGCGAAATAAGTTGAAGATAAAATCAATTTTATTTAAAAATTAATACACATGGAAAACACAATATGTCTGACCATGAATAATTGCATTTATATATTAATAGATCCAAATATGCGACCCTCTAAAAGGTCAACAACAAATTAACCGTATAATTCACAATATTCCACATAATTGACAGCATCCATGATTTGTTCGTCATGCCAAAAGGTCCAATCCTAATCCCGACCTTATTCAATGAGCGCATCATCCTCACCTCATACTTCGAGAAGCACCTTAAAAATTCCAGAAAGCTGACCGAATCTTCCCATACCATCGCTGCCTGGGGAACAATCGTCGCCACGACGCCAAATCCAATTAAGCTAGTCGTAGGGAGCGCCAGATATAATACAAATGGGATTTTACCTGGTACCCTGATAGTTAAATATGTCGCACAAATTATAAGACCCATCCCAAAAAATATCACAGGCGGGGCCGCAAAGTAGCAAAAATTTTGATTATAGTAAAAATTCCAAATTTGCAATTCTTTATACACTTTCATAACTCCTGTTTGAGAATTGGCCCATTTGTCTAACACTTTTCTACACCGTGCCATTATTTGTGTCGATGCGGCTAAAACGATCAACGCCACAGTGCCTAAACCACACAATGATTTTAGCATTTCTCCCGCAACCCATGTTAAGCCGCAAGTCCGTAACGGAATTGTTATGAATTCAGACCCCTGGAAAATTAGTATTTGGCTGAGAATACGCATCGGATCTATATCCATCCAGACAACGATGGGAATTATTAATGGGGGGAGGACGGGCGAAATTTGAGTGAAGGCCTGCAGCGTAACCTCAAAGATTTTATTGATGGGTGGCTGATGATGAATTTTACCTCGAGCTTGGCAAAATCAATTAAGGATTATAGATTTATGTACGTGGTAACCCAGGGTGCATAAACATTTTTGTTGTCCGTGGTTTCTCCTAAGGGGGTGGTGCAAGGATGAATATTTTTTTCAAAAAAATCGAAAAATCAAAAGTTGGGGAATTGCATGCAATTTTGCCATGAATTTGGTTGTTAGGCTAATTTTACAAATTATAATATTCTGTACCAACGACCTTATCCGACCTATATGACCCCTACTGGTCAGCCAATTGACCGATCTTAGCAACGAGCTTATTCTTCATTTTCGGACATGGAGGCCAGGATAAAATGTACTTATTTAATTTTTGAAAAGTAGTTGACAACCAAATTCATGGCAAAATTGCATGCAATTCCCCAACCTTTAATTCTTCGATTTTTTTGAAAAAAATATTCATCCTTGCACCACCCCCTTAGGAGAAACCACGGACAACAAAAATGTTTATGCACCCCGGTGGTAACCATAAATTCTTTAATTTGATTTGCATTTTTATAGGAGAAATATATACATAGTCGGAAACACTCAAGTGTCAATGACATATAGCCTTATTACTTTTGTAAATCTCAACTTAGCAATTTTTGATTTATTTTACCGAAAAGCCAGATAAATTTCAATTCGAAAACAATTTTTGGTCTTAAAAATTTCCTCCTCCTACGTCAATCTACGTCAATCTACGTCAATCTACGTCAATCTACGTCAATCTACGTCAATCTACGTCAATCTACGTCAATCTCGTCTAAAGACGAGACGACCACTCCTCGATGGAATTACGCACAGATTCCAGGGACATTTTGTAGCATTCCGGGGTCAGAATTTTTTTCCGAGCCTCCGCACTTCTACGGGGCTTAGAACACACCTTTGCCCCTAACTTTGACCATTTTTCATATTCCGGTGGTTCAAATCCATCAAGGATGATCACCAATTCTGATTGGAGATAAAGACCGGAATTTGTTCTTTTAGCTACGCTTGGGTCATTTTTTGCACTATAAATTCGTGCTGAGTCCTGCTGAGAGGTCCCATCGATTCCATTGAATTGGATCTCACTTAGGGGATGTACCACGGACTCAAAAACATATTTTAAGAAATTTGATTCCCCCACCTCCCCCCAATTTTCAGCAAAATGTAGAGAAATTACCCCAATTAGCTCCCACCTGCCAAAATCATCAAAAAACCTGGATAATGTGACTTTCTGACCTTTTATCTATATCGGGGGATGTCTCTGACCGATTTTGCGTAGATTAGGACAATTCGCTTGTTAAAAGATTTTTCCGATGTGAAAATCTCCTCATTTGTAAAAATAATCCTGCTCACTTTTTTGGAGCGTACCACTTGAGGTGACTCCTGCACTTATTTAATCTGGTTTTCCTTTGGGGTACGATCAGGATGTGGCAAGTACCACATTTCAAAGCCTTAAGCCTAAGCTTCAATTTGAGCACTCATTGGATAATTTGCATCGACATTGTCAGCAGTGAGCCCGGTTTCCGTTGGAATTTCGTGAATTTCTTCGGATTCCAGGCTTGAGAGGCTTCATGATGGGTGTGGTCCTTGGAGGTTTTAAAAAAATTCTTCTTCGACTGTTCTTTGTCGATTCGGTCCCCATGAATGTTTTTATAGTCCGTTGGGCTAAATTAAAGTACACCCTTGACTTTTTCAGCACATGAAAAATTCACCGTTTTTCTTCGATTTTTTTTTGTGAAAAACTATCGCCGCCCGCTTCTCTTCAATTTCCTGTATATTTATCCAGATGTTCAAAAATTACAAAGCCCATAGTGAATCATAATGTAAATCGCATGGCGAATCTAATGCACTCATCAGATTTTAATTCTGCGGCGTAGTTTTTTAGCAATCGGCTGTTGACACTTGAGTGTTCCCGACTATGTATACAGGGTGGTTTCAATGTCAGGTTACAATGGAAAATTTGTCAATAGGAAAAATTCGCAAATCTCCATTAGTTATCGAAATTTTGCCTCTGAAATTCAATATCTTAAGAATTTTTTCACCCGTGTTCCATAAGTTTTGATAAAAATTAATAAAAATCTCAATCCCAAATCCGCAACTAATGGAAATTTAGGAATTTTTCCCATTGACAAGTTTTTCATTGTGACCTGACATTTAAACCACCCTGTATAATTCTGTCCTCCTGAGGGATACTCATCGAAGTTCGCGGAAATAATATTTATGTAACATTTTTGTTAATCCAAATAAAAAACTCCGGACGTATTTACCTGTTATTCTAGCTTGAAATTCGACAATCTCATTAACTATTTAGCAAACTATACCGCCTCGAAAAGCAATCATTACACTCCCCGGTATAGCGACAGGAAGGATGAAACTAAGGTAAAACATTGCCAACGTCCTTAGCGTTCCGGACATGTCGTCCGAGGCTTCTTGTCTTGTATAGATTAGATTTTTAATTAGTAGGAGAACCGAGATAAAAGTATACACAAGCATTTGTGCGGGGGAAAATAGAATAATTGAGCGCTTGGAGAGGGAGCATTCTACCAAATATATTTTTCGTTCCTGCAATGAGATTCTGAAAGGAATGACAGGTCGATATGTGGAAGCGTATTTTGCTAAAACGTTAAATAATCCAGGAGAAAGCAGAACGGTTTCAGAATATTTAAATGAGTTAAGA